TATATTTCATCAAATATTACTTCAAAAATCAAAGAAGCACATAGCCATTGCTTAACTGATATTAAAGAAAAGATTAATTAGAAAACTCGTTTAGATCGGATTTAAAAAATCATTAAAGACAAGCCAAACTCATTTGAAAACCTCTTGAAATACGTTGCTAATTTATTGATCTAGCTTGACAGAAATTTAATAACAATCATGAAACAAACTAAGTATGAAATATTTCAATGAAATTTGGAATATTTTTTTCATGTAAGCCAGGTTGAAATTTTGTACAGTTTTATACATGGTAGATATATTTAAACACTTGCAAGCATTTTTAGGATAGAAAAATTAATCATCTCAAAATTATGTAAACATTTAAGATAAACTCTTATAATTTAATCTCACAAAGGTGTGACAACCACCAGACAAGTCGACACGCGTTCTGCCGACTTTGCAGTAACATATGGCGAGCATTTTTCATGATGTATTTTGAGAACATAACACGAGAGTTTCTAACTAACATGAATTTCAATTAAAACTGCAAAGAAGGGCACATCAACAAAGTTAGCGTGAACGTGAAACGTGGTTGTAACGAGGCGTGCATTCCTTCTAGTTCCAAAACCAACACTTGTTTGAAAGCTTCCATCCCTACGATATTTTGTTTGTTAGAAATGTACCCACTTAAGGATAATAATTAATATTTTGGCCATTTTTTTGATTAGAAAATAAAGTTTGCCTAAATTAGGCTAATAAATTTGACGCAGGCCTAATCCTCGCCATAGGGAAATACCATGTGAATGTAGTTTTTCCCAAGAGTTTGCATTCATTGATATACATATACCATGAAAAGTTGTAACTATATTTGTATCATTCTTAAAGTCTCCTAGCAACATTGACTCGTGATGAACACATCACACTAAAGTGTATAGCCTCACATAACGCCGCATGGTTGAGACATTGTGGTCTGACAATAATGTTATTAAAAAAGGCTCATTTATAGAGTAAGATTTTAAACCACTTACATTTTAAACAGTTAACAATTTAAACCACTTACATTTTAGACAATTAAAATTTTAAACTACTTATATTTTAAAAAATTAAATTTTAACCCACTTACATTTAAAACAATAACAATTTTAAACCACTTACGTTTTAAACAAAGTTTAAAAACACTTGCATGTATACATCCTAACCAATGTTCCTTTTAAGCTGCGCGGCTGCGCGACCGCGCAGCTTTCTCACAGACGCCGCGCAGCAGTTTTGAGTACGGCCTAGCAAATTTCCATGTAAGTATGTGTTTGTGTACTGTAAAGTTTTGCACACAAAAAAAAATGATGCTGTGAAACTTTGCAAACAACTGTATGATTTTGCACACGAACCAACAAATCTTAGAGGAACATAGATCCTAACCAGTTTTTTATTTTATTTAAGTCAAGTCAGCTTATGAGAGAAAGAAAATGTACAAATCTGCATGCCAGCCTTGCCATTAGCTTTACTTTTAAACCAGGATACAAGGGCTCTGTTCAACATTATTACCAATTGCAACAGGGGATTCATAGGCGCTGTTCAACATTCTGACCAATTGCAACAGGGGATTCATAGACGCTGTTCAACATTCTGACCAATACCCTACGACACTTGCCTCTGTTGGCCAGGTTTGAGCATTGACCTCCTACACTAGTCGAAAAACTTCGACTGCGGGGACGTATGGTCTATTGGAGTGCATTTAGGCGCAACTTTTATGTTCACCTAAATATAATGACATTAAAACTATCCGCCCGAACCCGTGGCCGCGTCTCTAAAAAGATGGTTTAGTAGATATGATTTACTCATTACCAAACAAATCGCTCACCCGCTCAAAATCTTTAACCCCTGACCTCGGAAGTAGTTGTATTTTTTTAATATATTTTTTCCCTACCGGTATTTGTTTTATCTTTACGCAACAAATCGATCAGAAAAGTAAACTAGATTCTATTTTTACTTTTTAAAGTTTACAAAGCAAAAATCAACGTTATGTAAAGAAATAATAAAATATCGCCAAAAAAATTTTTGACAGCTTTTCTTTACATTGACTCAGTAGGAGATTTAAAAGCTAATGAATCTTTTTATTTTTTTCTTTTTTTTTTTTGGGGGGGGGGGGGGGGGGAAAAAAAAAAAAAAAAAAAATACATAAAAATAGATGGAGTTCAACTGCCAAATAACAGGAATAGTTTTAAATAATGTTTGGAAACCTTGTCAAAGATTTGGATAAGAAAACAATAAGGGATAGTGCTTCTAGACTTGAACATGAATGACATTTATTTTACACAAACATGCTTATAAAACGTTGGTTTTAATAAATTCCTTATGGGGGGGGGGGTGTCTTTAATTTGCATTGAAATTGAAAAGCGCAGGTTGCATGAACATAGTAAAACTTCTAATAAAGGGATCCAGTGGAACCCCTTTGACGACCCCCTTAATATGACTTGCAATTGAAACATAGCAAGATTAACAATGTTAATCTTACTCTTTCAATCCCTGTAAATGTGAACTGTTTCAATGCCTGTAAATGTGAACTGTTTCAGTGCCTGTAAATGTGAACTGTTTCAGTGCCTGTAAATGTGTACTGTTTCGATGCCTGTAAATGTGTACTATTTCAATGCCTGTAAATGTGTACTGTTTCAATGCCTGTAAATGTGTACTCTTTCAATGTCTGTAAATGTGTACTGTTTAAATGCCTGTAAATATGTACTCTTTCAATGTCTTTAAATGTGTACTATTTCAATGCCTGTAAATGTGTACTGTTTCAATGCCTGTAAATGTGTACTATTTCAATGCCTGTAAATGTGTACTATTTCAATGCCTGTAAATGTGTACTCTTTCAATGTCTGTAAATGTGTACTGTTTCAATGCCTGTAAATGTGTACTCTTTCAATGCCTTTAAATGTGTACTATTTCAATGCCTGTAAATGTGTACTATTTCAATGCCTGTAAATGTGTACTGTTTCAATGCCTATAATTGTGTACTATTTCAATGCCTGTAAATGTGTACTGTTTCAATGCCTGTAAATGTGTACTCTTTCAATGCCTGTAAATGTGTACTGTTTCAATGCCTGTAAATGTGTACTGCTTCAATGCCTGTAAATGTGAACTGTTTCAATGCCTGTAAATGTGTACATTTTTATCCGTCCGAATCATCTACAGTAAATTAAAAATCTTATATACATATATATATATATTATTACATTCGCCAGTGTCGCCCTTAGGAGATCCAAACAAAGTCCCAGTGTGTCTTCCGATGTTGTCGCTCAACTGATAGATACGATATTATCTTTTCTCCAGTTGCAAGGCAGTTTTGTGAACAGGATTTGCCGCTTCATAAATCCTTTCATAGATCTAATTTGATTCGTCGATTTGACTAAGTAAACCGCATTTGCCTGTTCACTATCCTGCACAAAATAGTTGTCCCCGAAATCTGCTTGCAATCATAGTCATTTCAACGAAAACGTGCATAGCACATCAACCTTCAATAGCGCGGTCTCTGAGGCATTTTCAGTCAGCAGCGAAGTGAAACAAGGATGCGTACTTTCATTAACTTTCTTCTCAATTCTTCATCAGTTTGACTTCAGAGACTGCGAAAAAGCAGTATGATCCATACCACATTTGAAGGTATGCTGTTTAATATCTCCCGCCTTCGAGTAAACGCCAAGGTACAAACTGTGCTAATTCGAGAACTGCTGTTCGCTGACGATGCCACCATTGTATCGCACACAGAGGAACGTCTTCAACGTTTAGTTAATGGCCTCACCAACACTCGTCAAGAGTTTGGACTGATTATCAGTATATAGAATATAAATGTCATGAAGCAAGAAGCACAATCTCATCCGAACATAACTTTTGAGGATCATAATCATTGGGTAGCTGACAATGTCTAATATATCTGGCTCACTCTCCGCTAAACGAAGAGGTGAACATCAGGTTAGGAAAAAAACAGCGGCAACTGTGGCTAAATTGAATAAGTGGGTGTGGAATAATCCTAAACTAGCTGAAAGCTAAAAAATAAGCGTCTATCAGGCATGTGTGCTCAGTAAGCTCATATAAGGCAGCGAAGCAAGAACCAAAAAATGCCAGTTATAAGGGGAAACTCAACAGCTCCAACCAAAGATGTTTGCTTCGCATTTTGAGAATTCGATTGCAGGACTAATTGCCTAACACGGAGGTTTTGGAACGCGTAAAAATATGTAGCGAGTTCTTCGCTTTTAGCAATAGGCGCAAACCTTGGTTAGGCCATGTAAGGAGAATAGAGGAGGGCCGTATCCAAAAGAATCTGCTGTGTGAGTTGGCAGAGTGCCAATACTTATAGAGCTGCCGCAGATGTGATCTGAGGCCATTTCCAAAAGGAGCATGAGGGAAACCAACATAGAAATCAAGCATGGGGAGATCATCGCTGAGCATCGTTCCAGCTGGCGAACAGCAGAGTATGAAGGAGTCAAACAGGCAGAAGATGCACCAGCGAAAGCCGTGGCATCAAAAAGAGCTTATTAACGAAAAGCCAAAATTAACCAGGATGAAAGGTTCTCCTGCAAGACGTGCAGCCAAGACTCCCATTCCAGGATCGGCGTCTAAGCCATTTGATGAAGTGTCAAAAGCCACACTATCGTCTCGCGAATACGGAATATACATAATATATATAACAAAAGTAAACTGTAAAAAAAAATAATAAACGCTTGATGATATAACCATACTGAACAACGAGATTGAATCTGAACATCTAATTACATTATAAACATCATTTTGAGCTTTTGAGGACCACACAATTCAGGCTCTAAATAATTCTAGAATGCAAAAAAATTAAAAAAAAGAAAGAAAAAAAAAATTCAATGTAAATGTAGTTCACAGATTTTTTGCTTATTAAAAAATTATTGTATGTGTTAAGCAAGATCAATTGCTTTTGTTTTTATTTAGAATCTTGTTTTTATTTAGAATCTTGTTTCTAGAAAAAATTCCTATAATTTTTTTAATATTCTTGTTTACTGTAGACGTATTAGCCTCTGTTTAATACTGCATATTTTTTTAAACTTGTCAATATAAACTTAACTATATTTTTATATCAGGTGTAAGTTACACATTATTGCAGGTAAACATTTAAAATTAAACTTTTTAATTCATCCAATCCAGATGTTTTTGGTTTTGTTTTTACAAATCAATTTAATACATGGTTGTATCTCAATTTTGAAACAGGGCAAGGAGGTAGTCACGGATGAATGATTTTGAAAAGGTGCAAAACACGCAAGGGCTCAGATGCTGTTTGTTGCCAGGTGCGTCATAGTCCTCGACAGGGCCATGGCTGTGAGCGTAAACAATGACAACTGACTTGCCAGTTTGTCCACCAAACTTTTTTTTTGTATCCCTCAAGGTTCGTTCTTTGTTTTTTATTTGATTTACGTAAATGACACACGTCACTTAGGGCAGAAGTATTAAAAATATGCTTTTGGATTCAAAACCTTTTCTTTCCACAATATGTTTTTAAAAAAAATATGTTACGCTAAATCTATAACACTCCGCCTGAAACTTTACTTATCAAAACAGGGAGTAGAGTCCACATCATTGATCTCGAAAGTATGCAGTCAATATGACCGTAATAATGCCAAAAATTGGGTGGGAGCTTCACGTGGAGTCAACCATGGCTAAATATGGGTAAATACATGCCTCATGGTGAATCGGCAATGCATGACACTCTTTTGGTGATTACTATATCGTTCAGGCAAAGTGATACTTTGCAGGTGTAGCTAGTTCAGGGTCTCAGTCGGTATATGCCAATGCATTGTACTTAAGTCAGTGTGTGCATGCATGCTTGAACTACAGTCGGTATGTGCATGCACTGGATTTCAGTCGTTGTGTGCATATACTAAACTTGAGACGCTGTGTGCATACAATGGACTTCGGTCGGTGTTTGAATTCAATGGACTTTAGTCGGTGTGTGTGGATGCATTACAATTCAGTCGGCGTGCGCATACATGACAACCAGTGGCACCTGCGGTTGTAGCGGGCTCAATCTCGCTCTGTCGTTGCCAGACTCGTTAGCCGATCTTACATTCTGGTTATTATTAGCCGAAGTCTGTAGCGTGGTCGGTGCCCGCGACGACCGCTGGTGATTCAAGGGCTCGGATGCTACGTGGAAACTCATGTTCAGATCGTCGTCGTCGGTGATCTTATTGGGGTCAAAGTAACCTGGCATGATTGTCTCAGAATCTTGAGGCATGCTGTCCATCGACCCATAAATTGACCACCCGGCCGTGTCGGCCACGCTGAGATCTATGAACAGGTCGACGAGATTCTCGTCCTCATCCGGTGTCAAGTGACCCGAATCTGGTGACGGGCTATCACCGTTGCCTTTGACATCATCATTCTTTTTAACGGTTTCATTTGGAACGTTTCCGTCCTTGGTTCTTTTATTTTCCCCCTTCTCTCCATCTTTGTTTCTGCCATCATCGTCTTTCTTTGTTGAATTCGAATTCGGCTTTCCCCCTCCGCCGTCCTTATCATCATCGTCTTTATCCTCGTCCACTTCCGCGTTGGGGTCATACTTTTGTACCTGCAGGTCAACGACTGGCCAGTACTGTTTGTACTCTTCGATGATCTCATCGATCTGACCTTTGAAGCTGACCGTCTTCAGGCTAAGCCTCGTGCCTTTGGACGAGAGCACGTTTTTCAACAACATCGGGACGAAACCGCCCGCCAATGTCGCCAAGGTCGTGTTGGTGGACGACATCTGAAAAAACAGATTGAAATAAGTATATTATTTTTTAAATTAATGCATACTTGTAAAATATTTTTTTTTTTTTTTTTTTACTGGGAATACAGTTACTTTTTATTCTCATCATTCGGACCACGCCCTTTATTTAAAAGTATGTGTCTTCATAACATGTTGTCATGAAAAATATTCATAAGTCGTGTTGGTGTACAACATCTGAAAAAATAGATTGAAATAAGTATATTATTTTTTAAATTAATGCATACTTGTAAAATATTTTTTTTTTTTTTTTTACTGGGAATACAGTTACTTTTTATTCTCATCATTCGGACCACGCCCTTTATTTAAAAGTATGTGTCTTCATAACATGTTGTCATGAAAAATATTCATATAATTGCTTAATGGAAGCTTGAGTACAAAGACGGTGCAATAAATGAGGAACGTGTCGGCCTAGAGAACTTCTTCAGCGGACAGGACAAATGAAAAAAAAAAAAACTACATTTTTTATTTGTCCTGTCTGCTGAGGAAGGCTCTTGGCCGAGAAGTTCTTCATTCAATGTCCTGTCTTGCTATTTCAATCTTCCACATATCTGATTCTGCTACTTCTTACACACAGATTGAACGCAGCCCTTCATTTATTTTCCTTTGTTTTATGGATACGTTTTCTAAAATAGATTTTCCATCACAATCTGGTTCTATTTAAAGCTATTTATGACTGTAAACCGTATAGAAGCTGCTCAATAAAACTATGTATCCACAGAACGCAGTCTCAACTTACGGCATAGACATTCCCGAAAGCCATCACAACAATCATGACGAACATTAGAAATACAACAATGATCATAAATTTTCCTGTGGCGGCTAATAGATTGATATAGACTGGACCAGGTGCTCCGTGAACTCGCACCTGTCATTTGATGAAAGGTACAAACAAATGTCAAGTTTGGTATATTATATAAGAATGCTAAACTTTGATTTAATTTTTTTTTTGTTTTTTTTTTTATGAAACCTAACATATTCCAAACAATAGATAAATTCTTCATTGTGATTTATTGGAATTTTTTTATCCTAGAAGTAAGACTACTCCCTAATGTACTCGACGGTTAGGAAAAAAATATATTTAATCTGAAGAGGTCTGTAAAGGCAAATTGAAAACAACATGGAAATCAACACATGTTAAAGCGCCATTGTCAATCAGTTAATCATTTTCCATATTTTACCATTATTGGTTAGATTATTTTAATACGAGAATAATAACGTTCAACTTGTTGTTACATAATTTGTAAGTGTTCGATTCACTGGGATGAAGGTCTGTCAATGACATTTTTTGAGGTTTGCACATTTTTTAATGTCTTTCTTAGCATCCAATATTATGCAAAGTGTTTGATGAAATTAAGAAATATACAACCTGAGCAGAAATGATATCATGACAAAATCATTAAAAAATATTTCTTTTATTTGTATTTTCGGTTAGTTCTGACATTGTGAACGTCACGCACAGGACCGCTTACCTGACACAGTTTCTGGAACAACCTAAGCGGTATCCTTGGTGTGTCGTAGCAGTCCAAAAAGAGCAACAGCTGGCCAATCTTCCACCGGATCTCCTTCTTCTGGAAGTTGAGCGATGGCGGCTTTTCTTTGGCCTCGTCAACACATCGGACCTGATACAAAAAGAGTTGTGGCTTCGGTCATAACAATGTCAGCAGTATCGTCAAATGCGTCAAGTGCTAAGTTGGGTCGAAGCAAAAGAAGAACGTTTCTGCTAAGAGCATTCCTCAGCAAGCAGGATGAATGAAAAAAAAAAAAACGACAAGAAATAGAAAGGTGTTTAAAAAACTTAAAGTGTACGCCATCGTTATTGCCGGAAGTCGAACTTCTCTTCTCTTTTTGTTCTGTCTTTCGATTCAAGCCTCCACATACCGTGTTCAAATATTTCCTTCACACAGTTTGAATGCAGTCCTTCATTGTATGATCCATTTTGGTTTTAGGGTTGGTGGTAGGTACAAATTAAACGTTTGGGAGTTGTTTGAATAAAAAGAGACTTCGGCCCAACATTTCGTCATTGTTCTGATAACATCCAGTAAGTCTCCGAATGTTATTTGGATCATTTACCTTAGGTCCTGAATCGAAAATGTATTCAGAATCTGATACCAGTAATAAATACCTGGAAGGCCGTGTTGGCTTGTTCGCTGGACGGCATGCTGGCGATCTTCCTAAGGTCGGTCGTCGTCCTCTCTATAATCTCGTCGATGATGGTCTTGTTGAAGGTCAGGTAGTTCTCGTAGACGTTGCTGTAGCAGTCGTTCATGTACACGAACACGAGCAACACCATCGAGACGTACTTGAGGACGGAGCCGGCATTGACGATGATCCCCATCATGGTGAACGCCATCACCTGCCATCAGAAGGACTGAGGTGTTAACTGATCAGAAACTAGATGGAGTGAGATGTTAGATGATAAGAAACAATAAGGATTGAGATGTTAGAAGGTCAGAAACTAGAAGAATTGAAATGTTAGTTGATCAGAAACTAGATGGAGTGAGATGTTAGATGATACGAAACAAGAAGGATTGAGATGTTAGATGGTCAGAAACTAGGAGGATTGAAATGTTAGCTGATCAGAAACTAGATGGAGTGAGATGTTAGATGATACGAAACGAGAAGGATTGAGATGTTAGATGGTCAGAAACTAGGAGGATTGAAATGTTAGCTGATCAGAAACTAGATGGAGTGAGATGTTAGATGATACGAAACAAGAAGGATTGAGATGTTAGATGGTCAGAAACTAGGAGGATTGAAATGTTAGCTGATCAGAAACTAGATGGAGTGAGATGTTAGATGATACGAAACAAGAAGGATTGAGATGTTAGATGGTCAGAAACTAGGAGGATTGAAATGTTAGCTGATCAGAAACTAGATGGAGTGAGATGTTAGATGATACGAAACAAGAAGCATTGAGATGTTAGATGGTCAGAAACTAGGAGGATTGAAATGTTAGCTGATCAGAAACTAGATGGAGTCAGATGTTAGATGATACGAAACTAGAAATTCTGAGATGTTAGATGGCAAGTAACATTAAAGACTGATATATAGATTATTAGAAACTTGAAGGACTGCGATGCTTAGTTTATCAGAATCGTAACGTCTTTAAGTGAGATTGAAATGTAGAGATATTTGTCTCTGTCACTGCTCATACCAAACAGTTTTTGTAATAAAAATATTTCATCACTTTGATGCAAGATTATGGGATACAATTTTTAATTTATTATATGTTATATGTTGAGTAATACACTTCAAATCACCTACTTAAACGCTATCAAGTCATTATTAAAATAATTTTTTTTAACTATAAAATAAATTGATGGTCAATATTTTAGCATTTTCTGGCAGCATACATTTCTATATAAATGCCTGGGACATAAGATAACGGAAATTTAGGACTACACAACTGGTGAAGGGATTTACGAATACTAGAATGAGATTGACTGAGAAGGATACACTGCAAAAGAAAGTGGTAGACAAGATTTATTGCTGACCTAAACTTTTCGGGAATAAACTATTTTCAAGAAGAATACTTATTAACATAGATCTTAAAAGATCTGCTTTGCAAACAATGAAATACTCTTTATTGCTAACTAAAACACCATGCTGACAAGATCATGCTGGTTTTCGGAATGAGTTTCAACTTTCTATTGACCGGGAATGCGAGGTGCGACTGAGCTCTTCAATGTTCTGGAACAATTTACCCCATTTCAAACAAAGCAAAAATCATAGAAAGAAGGGCATTAGTTCATTTTTTGTGTGTGGTTAAGAACATGACTTTGATTTTGATTTGAATTTGACTTGGACTTTGACTGATAACAGAAATTAGTGGTCACAAGCGATCCTATGAACCAGCAACATATTATTTTTCACCACATTTAAAACAATGGTTATTTCGCTCTAGCTTAACGCTTGGACTTTTTTTAACAAGGCGCCCTTATCAAAACGAATACTACTCACAATGAAATACCACTAAATGTGAAATGCCACTATCACTATGATATGTCCCTCACTGTCAAATGCCACTATCACTATTTTATGCCACTCACTGTCGATTGCCACTACCACTGACATGCCCCTCACGGTCAAATGCAACTATCACTATGACATGTCCCTCACTGTCAAATGCCATTATAACTTTGACATGCCCCTTATGGCCAAATGCGCCTATCACTGTGACATGCCACTCACTGTCAAATACCACTATCACTATGACATGCCCCTCACTATAAAATGAAATTTTCACTATGAAATGTCCCTCACTGTCAAATGCAAATATAACTTTGACATGCCCCTCATGGCCAAATGCACCTATAACTGTGACATGCCACTCACTATCAAATGCCACTATAAACATGCCACTCACCTCAACGAACAATCCAATCGACTCTGAGAACACCAACGCCACGGAGTAGAGGATACACAAGCAGAACACCGCGGTGACAACCTGCAGCAGCACGCTCTTGACAGTGACGCACCCGCGGAAACCCCACTCGTCAGGGCAGCAGTAGTTGTCGGCCGTCTGGGTCATCTCCCCGAGATGGGCCGACTTGTCGATCTTGGACAACTTCTTGCCGATTTTCTGCAACCGAACGATCCTCTTCTTCTTCTCCTCATCGGAAACCGCCGCCGATTGGTTGGCGAGTTTTTTGGCGTGGTACGGAAGTCTGAACGACAGATACACCGTCGGGACGCAGTAGACCACAAACACTAACGCGCACGCCGGCATGACAATCACAAAATACACCGGGCCGATTAGAAACCCCAGAAGTCCGCAGCGTTTGAAGGGAAACAGAAGAACCCGGATGATGATCCCCAAGACGCCCGTCTCCGACACGGCGTTCATGTCCTGAAGCGAGCAGCGACATATTCCTTTGAGCTTTTCCCTGAACGTCTGATCGGTGAAGCCGATGACGAGTCCGATGAGGAAGTAAAAGACGTAGGTCGCGATGAAGACCCCGTGGGAGGGAGTGAAGTACTGGATGACGTTGGTCCTGTACAGGTTGAAGGACTCGGTGAGGTCGTTCCTCTCCATGGCCGCACGCCTCATCGTGATCTCCTCCTCCTCGAACACGAAGTAGATGATGAGTCGAATGTAGTACGGGATGGGGATGAGGATGAGCATCAATGTCTTGATGAACATCTGCAGGGTCATCAATAGAACAATGATAAATGCATTCAGTCAAGAGGTATATGATATAACCAGTTAAAAGTAATTTTATATTACCAGTTCAAAACATATTATTATAAGAATGAAACCGTCCAATACAAATTATATGAAGGAAATAAATGTTTTGTCTGTATGAATGATGTAGCGTAGATTCACTAAGCACAAAATCCAGCACAGTATATCCCACAAGACCATCACAGGACCACCCACAAGGCGGGCAAAGACCAACAACAAGCCGGGCAAAGACCAACCACAAGCCGGGCAAAGTACCACCCAAAAGAACAGAATATTTAAAGCACATAAATCACCCACCCCCTCCCACACACACACATAATCAGAACCACCCACGGAGAAGGGACATGTAGAGCAGAGAACCATCTACAAGGTAAGGACATTTAGAGCACAGGACCCCCAACAGGGTAAGCACACATGGAGCACAGTTACACACAGGGGTATCACAGTGACAACACAGGAGGTAGTGTGCAATTAATTATATTATATCATTTAGGGTCTTATCAAATTGTAATAGATGGCTAGCTTTAAAAAATATAGGGCATCAACTCAAGCTGTTGCAAGCATTAATCTGAATAATGAAGATAGTTTTAGGTTTGATTTAACTTGCTCACAACCAGTAAGTAGGCTGACGTAGACAAGCTCATAACTAAAACCAAGTTAACTACGTCATTTGGTCATTGCATAAACAAAAGCTTTAGTTTAAATGCCAAATACAATTTATTAATGTAATTTTTTAAAGGGGGGTAATTGCAATGCTTTGATCAATAAACAGATTTAAGTCCCTTTTTAAGTCTCAATTTTAAAATATATACATGCGTATGTTATTTCATTACATAGTTAATTCACCTCTTCATTCCTTTCCTTATTTATTTTTTAAAATAGATGATGTTTTTTTCGAAACAGAATTAATAAAAAAAATGCCCAGTCAATTCAATATATGTTAGCTACATTGTTGAATAGCAAGGTTTACAAAAGGAAACATTAAGCCTTAGCCAACAAAGAAATTCCCGAAGTGTAGTTGCCAAAATAAGAAAAGTAAAAATATCACATTAAATGTAGCTAAGCTAATTTAGTTATGAATATATTAGGTGTATTTTGATAAAATCCTCATGTGGGAAAAAAAAGAAACATGATTCAGAACTCAGCCCGTGGTATGTTACTGCAGTGACCTACCTGTACAAATTTATGCCAGGTAATTTTGTGCCTAAACTTAGGCTCCATGCTGGCGAAGATGCTGGTTTCACAGCAGTCCTGGAATGGGTCAAGATTTTTTATCTTGCATCGGATGAGGTTGTCGTAGATGGTCCTCATGAGCCCAGTGGGTGGGTCATTTTCAGGAATAATTCGTTTGCCTTGCACCTGTAGATAAACGTGTATTTTGTTTCTCAGGTCAAGTTCCGTACGGCATTTATTTATAGACCAAAAATCAACGCGTGAACGCCTATCAGCCAGTGGCGTAGCAAGGGGGGGTGCGGGGGCGGGGTGCGGACCACACTTGGTGACATCAACCCTAGCCACGCCACTGCTAGCAACCACTTTAGTTCAGGTTTCAACCATTTTTAAAATCCTGAGACACCTGTGTAAATTATTATTTATTATATATATAAATATAAATATTTATAAAAATTTGCTTAAAGATTCAAAAATAAAACAGATGACTGGAAAAGGGGTGGTATAAAAAAAAAAGTCAATTGAGTTAAAAATGAATTTTCCACTGATTCAAACAAAACTTTACAAACACAATTTGACAAAAGATATCTTTTTTTTTTTTTTTGTAATAATGATATGCACAGCTCATCACAGGAACGGATCAGTTCTCAAGCTATAAAAAAAAAAGTCAATTGAGATAAAAATGAATTTTCCACTGATTCAAACAAAACTTTACAAACACAATTTGACAAAAGATATCTTTTTTTTTTTTTTGTAATAATGATATGCACAGCTCATCACAGGAACGGATCAGTTCTCAAGCTATCATACTTTGACTCTAAGCTCATCGATCTTCACGGGGATGATTTCATCAAATGGAAGTGTTTCTAGCGAGTCTCGTAGCCTCGGCCAGTTTGAGATCTGCTCCAGTGTTAGTCTCTTCTTGAACCGCACGTTGGAGTCATTCTGAAAGAAACAAGGAGGTGGTAAAACATGCTCGGACATTATTTTAATGAAAATAGCCATCACTTTGCAGAAGCACTTTTTAAGAGTTTTTTTTTTTTAGTTTGAAAATCAGTTTTAAATCTGACTGATGGAGATTATTATTGTTCGTCCTACGCGCGTAGTTGACCAGGACTATTTTTGACTTGAGCTGTATTTTGTTTTGAGTGAGGGAGAGTTGTTCAATTCATCAGCCTCACTCTCGCGTCCTTGCCCACCCGATCCAATGGCAAGACTAAGTCAAATTGACTGGATATTGACCAGGATGCAATAAATGACCAGAAGTGTGTCTTGTTTGTTACACTGTGCTCTTTGTGCGATTTAAGTCTCACTGGTTGTCGAAATTTTCATCATGTCAATGTCTAAGCATCTCAATGTCATGGAAAGCAACCCAGGGTTAACGAGTCCCATCCACCCGGGCTGCTGGTGAAGTTTTGTGTTTATTTTGTGAATTGAACTCGAGTCTGCTAGCTTTGGATTGACTCAGTATAGATCACTCTCTCACCAGGCACCCAGTGAGGGAGATGGATGCCAGATGATTGTGGAATAGTGTATCGATCGGTTATGGGCAACAACAACACAAAAAAAACTTAATTTTTTGGCACTTGGAAATTCAAATTTTAAAGATAAATTAAGAAAAATATCGAAGTTTAAATCAGGTCATAGCAAAATAAACTAATTTTATGATTTGTAAGATACCACAAATATTCTAACACTGTCATAACAAAACTAAATTACGTCTTAAATTCGTTAAAGAGGAAATAACAGACGTTTAAAACTGGTGTCAGCAGTGAGGACAAGGACAGCGCCCGTCACAGAGCACCCTTGATTTAAGACAAACTGCAGAGGTCAAACTACAGATGTCAACAAATGTGCACTTACCTGCTCAGAAATGAACAGCTTCATCTTGATGGCTTTCTTTAAACTGATGACGTATTCGGACGCCACATAGGCGGCACTATAGACGTTGTTGGGTAAGAATTTGGGGCAGAAGAGAAACATGAGGATCTGAAAAAGAAATCCCCACTAAATTTAGTTTTACCAAAACTTGTGTGTTATGGCGAGAAAGTTAACGATATTCAAAAATGGAAGGAAATATAGTTTGATCAAATAACAAAAATCGCCTACAATAAAATTAATGAAAAGAAATGAAAATTAATAAGAAAAAATGCAACCAGCTTTGTCGTTGCTCTGTCAATAGGAATGTAATATGAGAAATAGATAATGTTACCTGTATTTGAAGTATAGTGAATTAGGATGCTGTATCTGAGGCAGATAATAATAAAGAGCACACAGTGCAAGAGGATGTTTGGCTTTAGTTAAAACTTTGGGAATGTTAGGCCAATGAGAGAAAAAAAAAGAAGTTAAATGTTTATTTTGTTCCGTTTTGTGGTTCAGATGGCATCTGGTCAACAAAAAAAAAGATAGTAAAAAATGAGTTCAAGCCTACGTGAACAGACGACAGCACAGAGTACTTATTATCAAATACTTTGACAGAGTCCAAAAGAAAGCAGTGAGGGTGATGATAGCCCACATTTAAGAGGAGGGATACATTCTGCAAACGAGGTAGCGATGGTTAAGGAAACCGATAAAAAACTATAAAGAGGCAAGCCCTGGTATGGAACCCTCAACGGTCAAGAGACGGGGAAGATCGGAAAGTGGACATGGATATACTTTAAGATCAGAAAGTAGACAAGGATGTACTTTAAGATCGGAAAGTAGACAAGGATCTACTTTAAGATCGGAAAGTAGACAAGGATCTACTTTAAGATCGGAAAGTAGACAAGGATCTACTTTAAGATCGGAAAGTAGACAATGATGTACTTTAAGATCGGAAAGAGCCGTAGAGTGTTAGAGCAGATAGCAAGAGGCCGTATAGCGTGGACATATATTGTTAATGGTCTATGCTCCACTTGGAGATGGGGCATAGCGAGTGGTTGTAGAGAGGCGGTCCACTATCTGGAGCTGCGGCATTTTTCGGCAACTGCATAGTTTTTTTTCGATGAGAAGGGGCGTTAAAATTATCGACCCGCCCCGGGCGTCTCTTAACCTACTACACCGCTGACTGGCAGTTAAAAAAAAAAGCAAAGAATTAGAAGAAAACGATAGCATCAACAACCCAATATCTTCGGGTGTAAGTCGTCTAGACTGACTAGAAATTAATTTTAAACATATTAATACAAGTATTTATCTTTCACCTTAACTGACGTAATGGCCAGATATAGAATGTTGATCCAGAAGTCATCCCCTTTCGTGGAACACACCAAATTGCCCGTGGCATCTTTGTAGCAGCAGTTGTACACGAAGTCTGCATTGCCGGCCTTGTTGAGAATCTCCTGGTTACACGCAAACTCCTCCCTGTACAGATTATGTTAAAATTGTTTTAGCCTTGAACTTTCTAAATTATTCACGTTCTTTAGCATACAATTAATTTACAAATCAATGAAGAAATATCGAAAAACAGGAGCTCGGAGGGGACATTTGTTCTGGTCTCTACTGATGCTGCATACAATCTGAAGAGTATTGTGTTGATAATGAAATCTGAATAGTAGTGTTTTAATATATATAAATCTGAATAGTAGTGTGTTTAAAGTAAAAGCTCATTTGAAAAGCCGCTGGGTTAGTGGCACAGCATTGTTTTGAGCAACGTAGCTGTCAGGTTGGGCTGAGAGTTCAATAGACGCCAAACCTAGTCAATAGTCATTCAAAGAAACATTATTTGGCCCCATCACCAATGTTCCGGGATAATTTATTGGTTTTATTTTTACTTATTATTTCAATTTTTTACCTCCACCCCGTTCTAAATCAACAGGAAATCAACCTTAAATCGGCTGCTAACGTTAAGAGACATACTTAATGTCTATGTCTTCATGGTCAAATCTTACATGTATATGTATATATTTTTAAATTGTAAACTCTTTTAACTGAAACCTTAGGCTGTTTGAAGTTACATGAATGGTAACTACGTTAAAGAGGTTATATTTGATATATACACATCTCTATGTTTTTTTTTAATTAAACGTGTTTTCTTTATTTAAAATAAAGATTAATGTTCAAAGTTTCAAAATGATAATCTCATAATTAAAAGAAATGTTATTCCTTTTTAAGCAAAAAAAAGTATTTATATATTAGAGTCGTTTTGATATAATATTTTTAAAAAAATGACTTGTTATTTAATGTTAATTAAAATGAAAGCAAAGTAGCAGGTATCCCACAAGGCACAAATCACATGGTTGAATGTGTTGTAACACTGGACTTGCCAACATCAACATATAAAAGATATACAAGATAAAAACCATTCCATTTACGTATACACATGTGTAATACTTTAATAAATCATTACTTTAAAAAAAAAGTGAAGGTAAAAAACCATACAATTTAAAGATGTGTGGTCATCTCAATAGAGGCGCCCACAGTTGTTAGGATACCTGCTTACTCTTTGTGTGTTTAACACTCACGATACTCCAGCGTCACCAAGTATTAGTAGTAGGCTACATTGATACAGAACACTCAAACAGTAAAAAAAAATAACATTTGACGTGAGGCATTGCTGTCACACCGGCCAAGGAATTAACGTAGATCTATTGGGAGGAGAGCTTTTTTGGCAAAACTGTACCTTAGTTTTTGCCTTGTATGTTGTGCTAAAAGTGAGTTCTACTCAAACTGGACTGTAATGTTATCTTAGTATCATGTGCGAACCATCGTAGTTAGAGTTAACTAACTTAAATCCGTGGTTGTGTAATCAGAAAGGATTTTATTTTGAAGTTGGTAATGACGGTGACATCAACATTAGTTTCCATTATTCGGGGACAATAAAGTGAAATAGAATCCCTCAAAATCTAATTTTATCTTTTCTTGTCTGGATGTCACAGAAAGATTCTGATGTCATCTACACACACTCCACCAATAGACTGACAAAAAGAGTCTGATGTCGTTTACTTTCACTCCACCAATAGAATGACTCAGATTTCCAAGATAAGGGTTAACTTTAAAAAAAAAAAATGTTAGTAAAGTAAATCATTTTAAAAAAATTATTAATGTGTTAAATCAAAGAAGAAATCCATGACCCATCGACCCATTGCCCGTCATACAAAAAGTCTTCGCGCAGGCCAACAAAATCTACTTTGGTTTATACTATATTTTGTATCTAACACTTTAAACATTTTATTTAGATATCAATCAATAATCTACCTTGATTTCCCATAATTGCTCAAGTTTATGTTATAATTCGACGAACTTCAGAGGCAGTAAACCTATATAACACTCCAGCTGATCAATTTTTAAGGCGCCTTGAATGAAATAGCCACCAAGGCCCTTATCTATTTGGCTTTTAAAGATGAAACCAAAATTTTAATTCTAGAAATTGTAAAATAAAAGAAGCTCTGAATAAATATGACGTCATGAAGTTAAGAGTTGAGTTAGGGATAAAACAAGCAAAGAAAAGATTTCAAGAACTGTGTGTCAATAATAGAATATATATTTCTTGTTTTCAGAGCCGTCTCATGACTTTTGTAGGCCCCCTGACCTTTGGAGTCCCCCCGACTTTTCGAGGCCCCCAGGTAAATAATTATTTCATTTTTTAACCATTGCTACTGTGTGTCCTTAACATATCCGATATGTAGGCCCCCTGACCTTTGGAGTCCCCCCGACTTTTCGAGGCCCCCAGGTAAATAATTATTTTATTTTTTAACCATTGCTACTGTGTGTCCTTAACATATCCGATGGCCACCCCCCCCCCAAATCGCATGGGACATGGGAGGGAACAAATCGGTCCCCCCCACACCATCGCAGAGGTTTCTTGGAGAAAATATCCGATGCCCTTTGCCACCGCAGGGGTTTAGGGGCCCAAAGCGACGGCTCTGCAATTTATGAATGTTATATTCTTGTTACATCATTTCATTATTTTGTTTCTAAAAGATTTTTAGATTCAAATTTGAAAAAAAAAAGAAAATTAATAATTTGATTAGATATCGATACAGGAATGGGTTACAAATATCATCATTGTTGTTTGAGATCAATAAAAACCGTAAGTGTAAAACCCCATTGTTACTGAAAATACATCATTATTCTTTATTTGTGTTATTTAAAAGTTATAATAATGACGGACTGTTTTCAATAAACAATACTATGCTATAGGTATAGGTAGATATGATATAGGTTGTTTTTTTTTTATAGATACGAAAAAGAAATTGTATTGACCTTGAATATTTCGTCTTGTGATTTTTGGCTCCGAATACAAAATACATATTAAGCACATTCTACTAAAAAGCAAAAATAATTTGATATTGATGTAAAATACTGTAAAATAACCGTATTTCATTGATCTATTGAAACATGATTTTTAGCTGAAATATTTTTTTTTAATTTTGGCCCCCCAACAGAGGATATCTCGTGCTCAAACTCCAATATACGAGATCCCTCACATGGGCAACAAATTTCGCAAATCATTTAACACTGAAATGTCGATAACCAATCATTCAACATTTGAGTTTTGGAAGTTAAATGGAAGCCCTAAAATATTGTCAATGAATCATTTCCCCCTGATACATTGGCAATCAACCATTCAAACGTAAAATATTGGCAATCAATCATTCAACCCTTCAGAACATTAAAATATTTTTCTAATTTTTCATAAACCACACGTCATATATATTGTATGTACACATAGATGGTGACAACAGTTGTACATCCTGGAGTAGAAGGGTAGGGGGTGGAGAAGAATAGTTTTATCTTTAGAGAATTATCTGCGTATTAATACATCTTTAAACTTTATTACAGTTGCATTGGCAAGTTTAATACATTTTATTGGGTGGTAGAATTCCAAATTTAAAAAAAAAATAATAATAATAACTTTTTTTTAAAATTGTTTTTAAATACATATATAAAATAATTTATTAAAATGTATATATAGATTTGAAGTCATTATTTAAATATTGGGATTTCTTAAATATGCGTCATAGTTTTGTTTGAGTATTTGAGAATTTTGAAATTAGACACAAGCCCTCCAATCTCAGGGCTTAACGTTCGCCTCAAACTCCAGTCGACTGGTGTCACAATCTAAGGTACACGGCTCCTCTCTAGCCTCCCTTGACCCCGTTAGCTTGCCTGTCAGATGCCAGCACCCACCTGGACGAGCTCTTGTCTTTGATCACTCGGCTCAACAGCATCATACGGATCGAGTTGACCTGCCGGGCAGTTGTTAAGTTGCCTGGACGTTTTCAGGGTTGGTTTGAGAGGAAATGTCATTATGGACGTTATGATAAAACGACGCAGGGATGTTATGATAAAATTTCAGCAGGAATGCTACGATAAAATGGCATTATGGATGTTATGATTTAATGCCATTATGGATAAAATCAAATGATGTATTTTGTGACAGAATTTATTTTTGGATGTTATCATAGATATGTCTTTTCAGAAGAAAAAAACTTGTAATAAAAATTACTTTAAAAAAAAAAATTGTCTTTAAAATCAGGTGGAAGTTGAACACGGCGCGAATGGTAAATGAGAACATTTGAAAAATATGTATGGTCAAAGGATTGGTCAGAGAAACTGTCAGAGAATGGCTCAGAGAACTGACAAGAGATTGGTCAGATAATTGGACCAAGAATTTGTCAGGTAATGGATCTGAGAACTGGTCAGAGATTGGTCAGAGATTAGTCAGAGAATTCGTCAGAGAAACTGTCAGAGAATGGGTTAGAGAATTGGTCAGAAATTGGTCAGATTATTGGTCAGATTATGCAATCGGTCAGAGAATGTGTCAAACGATTGGTCAGATAAAGTGTCAGAAAATCGATCAGAGAATTGGTAAGAGAATTGGTCAGAGAAAGTGACCGAGAATCGGTCAGAGAAATATTTGGTCAGAGACTTTGTCAGAGTTTTTGCTGGATTACAAGACCACTGAAAAAAAAGCCATTGAAACATTATGATAAGATGGGAAACATACGTTTTAATGTTTTTAGCCTTTCATTTTTTTAAGGTCACAAACTCAAACCATTTTTAAAAAAAATTAGCATATACTTTCAAAAAGAGGTGCTTTTTTGAGAAATTTGTTTGTTTTTCCTTTTAACTCTAAAAACAACTATATGTAGATTCTGGGATTTTATCACTCTTAAGAAATATATCATTAAGGATGCTGTTCATGAAAAGTCCCATAAAGCTGTTTTTTAAAGCTTTTAATTATTAAATAATTAAATAAGTATCCAGTTGATCTATAAAATTATTTAAACGTGAGAGAAATTTAAAAAAAAACAAAACAACTTTGATGAGTAGCCGTTGAATTAGGACCAAGAGGTCATCGATGAATCTCCTCCCTGTCATTATACTTTACATGTCATTATGATGACAAGCGTATTCCCTACATCTCGTTCTGTCATTGTCACTACCCACCCAAGATAAGCGCCGCCTTCACCACAAGACCAACTCACCAAAACAACCCAGCGGCGTGTCCACCACCAGAATGTCCATCTTCTTAACGCCAATGGTCAGTATGTTCATGGACAGCACGTCGTAATGAAAGGACAGCATCAGCAGTGTGCGACCATGTTGGCTTTTGGTCGTGTACCAGAGCCACGGCTGGACAACGTAAAAAAAAAAAGTTTTTGATTTTATTATAATATTAATATTTACAAATTGCTACAAATAGAAGTACAAAAATATTTTTTTTAAATTATATTTATTTAAATTTTAGGTGTTGTTCCGAGCGACGTAGAGAAGGGTCTGGTGGGCAGATGTGGCAGTACATCCCGGGTGGCACCTATTTTCTTTATATTGAATGGAGGCATTTCTGGTCAAGAGAAGATATGTTTTTTTTATTTTTTTTTATTTATTTTTGGTTTTTTTTTTTGTTTTTTTTTTAGGAGACGGGGTGAAAAATTTCTTACATCATCCCCGACGGCACCAACCCTAGACATGCCACTCTTTGTTATTTTATTCTAGTAAATTATGTACATACATGTTCAAAGCAGTCTATTTGCGTAATCAGGCCAATCAGGTTTACTAAAGCTTTAATTAAATTTCAAATGAGAAAATTCTGCTTTGCTAGCTAGGGATGGTTGTTAAAGGTGTGTATGAGCGACTTAATGGAAAATATATATATTTTTTTTTTACAAATGGAATGTTTATCAAAATAAATCTATATTCAAAAATACACAAAAATGCTTCTTTGCGTACACTAAAAAAATGTTCAATTTACCTTAAAATACAAGCCTGTCACATTATGGAAAGGATCAATGCTGTAATCTTTGAGCTGGATTTTGAACTCAAAGAGGTTGACATCCTCTCTCTTCTCGGCCTGGAAAGGTCAAGGACGAACGATAATATGAGGTCAACTTTGACCATTTATTTACAATGTACATACAATTACTCTAACCCATGAACACTAATGAAGTGTTTGAATTATAAAAAAAAGCTTGGAAATAAATTTAGGTAAGCTATGTAGTAATAAAATTATCAATGTTTGAAAGAAAGTGATGTGTAATGGTGAGTTCAAAAGCTCGGAAAATAATATTCGGGATCACTACGCTAAATGAGACTCTTAAAAACCGCCAGTGCGTTTGGTACGTAGTATTTTGTTTTGTTTACAGAAATAGTCTCAATTGAAACGTGATTTAATAACTATGCCGTGTAAAAGGGGGTGTGAAATTAGAATAAAATTCAAGGCTGGAGATTGGCTGGTCGGTCTCCGTACCAGCTAATCAGATTGCTTTTTACAAATTCCTGCACAGCCTGGAATTATTTTAAATGCGGGCTTCATTTATTTTTTACCAGCCTTTATTGTATTAAGGAATAGGTTTGTGTGTTGCTAGTAATATCGTAAAATTTCAAAATGTCTGACAGTGACACTGGACAAATTAATCCTTAGTGGTTTTGATATTCTAGCAGTGAATCTGACCATAATGAAAACTACTAGGAGAGTAACGAAGGCGCTCAAAATGGTGATGTGGATAATAATGTTGTGAACCCTCGGCCTAGTACTAGGGGTCCTCAACTGGATAGAGATGACCCCTGTGACATTTTTTAGAAAATATACGACCTATAAATATGCCTCAAGGCATAAGCACACAAGTTGGGTACTTAATGCTACTATTTTACACAAAATATTAATCACATTTTTATGAGAGAGATCAATAGGTATGCAGACAACCTTCTCAGTAACATCCGGCTTAAGAGAAGGTCCATAGGTCATAAATGGGGACATGTTACAATGAGGGGTTTGTAGCAATCGAAAAGTAGTCGAGGTCAGGAAAAGGAGTAGAACCATGTGCAAGATGTGTCTGAAGGGCCTCCATGGGCCAAATGTGTCTGAAGGGCCTCCATGGGCCAATTTGTCTGAAGGGCCTCCATGGGCCAAATTCTCTGAAGGGCCTCCATGGGCCAAATTCTCTGAAGGGCCTCCATGGGCCAAATTCTCTGAAGGGCCTCCATGGGCCAAATTTGTCTGAAGGGCCTCCATGGGCCAAATTTGTCTGAAGGGCCTCCATGGGCCAATTTGTCTGAAGGGCCTCCATGGGCCAAATTTGTCTGAAGGGCCTCCATGGGCCAATTTGTCTGAAGGGCCTCCATGGGCCAAATTTGTCTGAAGGGCCTCCATGGGCCAAATGTGTCTGAAGGGCCTCCATGGGCCTTGTTTCCCCCCCCCCAAAAATACACGTGTTAGAACGTATCCAGGCTTCATCCATCAAAAATCCAAACAAATGATACAAGAAAGACAGGAAAAATCTTAGTGTAAGAAAAACTATGCACATCAGTATAACTCATTTGCATAAATCTTGCGATATTTAGGTTTAATTCATAAAGATAGAATTACTCAAGCCTCCATGGGCCAAATTTGTCTGAAGGGCCTCCATGGGCCAAATGTGTCTGAAGGGCCTCCATGGGCCTTGTTTCCCCCCCCCCCAAAAATACACGTGTTAGAACGTATCCAGGCTTCATCCATCAAAAATCCAAACAAATGATACAAGAAAGACAGGTAAAATCTTAGTGTAAGAAAAACTATGCACATCAGTATAACTCATTTGCATAAATCTTGCGATATTTAGGTTTAATTCATAAAGATAGATTTACTCAAGTGTATGATTCAATTTCCTACAAGAATATTTAAACAGATTTATACATGTAAAGGACAACGTTTATTTTGATTATCATTAACTTGTTTTTTCAATATGAGTGCCGAGCTTGTAATAAAAAAATGCTCCGTCTTGGCACTAACACTCCAAAGGCTCCTTCTCAAATGTGCTAGCTATCTTACATTTATGATATGCATGCATTTCCGTGTGTCGCGAGTTGCTTTTTAACGGCCTAGAAAGGTGAGCTTTTGACATTAAAATTGATAAACTATAAACGTGTCCACTTTTTTTTTTTAAGAAGAGGCCTTTGTCGATTTTTTTTCTTCATGAGTTTCTCCTACTCTTTATTAGGTTCAATTTGCTTTTAAATTTACTTTGTGCGATTTTTATATCAGCTGTTGATAGCCTGTAAGGCTTAAGTTTTAGTCTAAACTCAACCACCAAAATACTATAAAAATAACGACCACGTTGATACAATCATTCAGACTCGACTCCAATAACTGAAGAAAAAATTTGACCTTCTCAACGCCACACAGATTTACCGATCCCAGCTCTGCACGGATCTTGCAAACGGAACCCACCTACTCAGCCAATCTACAAACGTACAACTCCAACACAAACAGAAACGACTCCAACACAAACACTACCGACTCCAACACAAACACAACCGACTCCAACAGCAACACGGATGACGTATTTTGGACTTTTAATTTCAACACTTGTTTATTTATGGCCGCGTGATCAGCTCGATATCCCGACACTTGTGATCTATTGATTGAACAACCTCGGCGCCGCGTAAATAAAAGTGTAATGGAATGATCAGATGATGTGTATCTGGTCTTAACTTTGTACCTACGACTTTCTACAGTTTAAGGTCGGGATTTTTTTAATATAGAACTTACTACCACTGTTCCCTCTACCTTTTTTAAAATTTATTATTTCAATATTAATGTACAAATGATTCAATTATAAACACAAACAGCAATAGATGAGGTGAGCATATCAGTCCGACAAGTCTTTAATTTGCCAGATGTAACAACAATGAACTTCCACTGTATTCAATTTGCGTTTTGTTTTTTGTGACGATACTTGCTTGTGCGGTCTGCTTAAACCTATTTTGGTTTGCCATTTTAAAAATGTCCATTCACACAAGTGATCTCAAATCATACCTTAAAAAAAGAAATTGTATGAAAGACAACTAGGTCACGGGGTAACTATATTTCCAGGAGCCCATCAGTCACATCGTCTGTTGCTCTCCCAAATAATTTATAATGATTCAAAACTAAATTCAGATGTAAGGCGAAGGGCTTCTCAGCATTTTGACCCTTCCCCTCACTTTCATTCGGGAACCACCAGTGCTTGTTTTAGATGTCCAATCCCCCCCCAAACCATCCTGGCGATCAAAGTGACAGGCCCGTACCTTTCTGTCTACTGTAGATATATTACAGAGTTAGTTCTAATTCAAAATGTATACAATTCTGTAGTTGTGATGGAGCGTTCAGAAGTAGGATCATTTTAGAACTGAGTGCGTTAAACATTAATGTGCAAATAATTGTGTCCCTCGTTTGTTGGTGTTTAATTTGACAGATGTAATGGCACGCGATTCGCTGAGATGTGACACGCGATCAAATGGCCGTGACGCCGTGCTGTAGTCTCATTGGCTGTATCAATACACTATGGTTAACTATGGTTAAATTTTAAAATTGCGCAAAACAAATTCTAGGCGCGAAACATGTCCACAAACTAGAAGGAACATTGGCTACTACCGCCCAAGCAAGGAATCTGTGCTATAGAGATTTAAAGAAACCCTGTCTCAGTTTGGTATGTGGAATTTGTAATATTATTCTGTTTTCTTTAAGTAATGTGAGACCATAACAAGTTTTTGTATCGTGTAATATAGCTGCCTTAAGTCGTTCCAGATTTCATTTAAAAGACTGTAGATGGGGCTGACAAAAGTGCCTGGGTGTTCGGATACACGCCGGAGGCTAGCTTGCCGGACATTTTCGGGTACTCGGGCACACGTCCAAGGCCAACTTCCGAGGGTTGACTACGGGTAGCAGGGTGCTCAGGTAAAGGCCCTAGGCTAACTTCCCAGGGTTGACTACGGGTAGCAGGATGCTCAGATTAATGCCCTAGGTTAACTTCTGAGGGTTGACTACGGGTAGCAGAATGCTCAGATTAAGGCACTAGGCTAACTTCTGAGGGTTGACTACGGGTAGCAGGATGCTCAGGTAAAGGCCCTAGGCTAACTTCCCAGGGTTGACTACGGGTAGCAGGATGCTCAGGTAAATGCCCTAGGCTAACCTGCTAGGGTTGACTACGGGTAGCAGGATGCTCAGGTAAAGGCCCTAGGCCAACTTCCGAGGGTTGACTACGGGTAGCAGGATGCTCAGGTAAAGGCCCTAGGCCAACTTCCGAGGGTTGACTACGGGTAGCAGGATGCTCAGGTAAAGGCCCTAGGCCAACTTCCGAGGGTTGACTACGGGTAGCAGGATGCTCAGGTAAAGGCCCTAGGCCAACTTCCCAGGGTTGACTACGTGTAACAGGATGCTCAGGTACACGCCAATTCCCAGAATTTTGGTTACCCGATTTTAATAGTTTAAAAAAATCACATAAATAATATTCCATAAGAATTATGTTATATTGATCCCCTCCTTCTTTTAGCGTACTTTTTCTTCTCCCAAATTCCTACCAGTGCTGTCTGCTACGTCGAGTGGTGTCATGTCATGCGGATTGCCACCTATGATGCTAATTCTGAGGCTAAAATGCTAAACTAACGTACTTTCGTAGGCTATCATTTACTGTTGTTCTGGAGAGGATAATATTTCGTTTTTGAAAAAAAAAATTCCATTTTGGTTTTATCATTTTTTTTTTTAAATTTCGTCTTTTCAAAAGTCAGCTTATCTTTCAAAGCTTTCAGCATACACCATAGCACGTTAAATCATTTGTTAAGGTGAACTAAGTCTAATTTCATTTAGTTTATGATTGATCAATGTGTCTACATTTTTAAGTACAAATAACAAATTTTAAGACAATATAAAATATGAACTTTTTTTATAAGACATGAACCAGAAGTTTGTTTAACCTGATAGAACGCTTGTATGAATCTATATCACAATGCAATTGTACTGACCACATCTATATCACAATACTATCTTATTAAATACATCCATATCAAAATACAATTGTATTGACCACATCTATATCACAAAACGATTGTACTGACCACATCTATAAACTCGTGCAGGTTCTCCTGTGTTGATATCTTACAGTTTTGTACGTTTCCGTTCCCAGCGTCCACCAACTCCACCCACGCAGTCTCCTGGGAAGCTTTCGTAGGTTTTGGCGACTCATTGCCCACATTGGGCCTGAAACATAGTAACATATGAGACAACAAAATGAAACATAATTACATATCAGTCAACAAAATGAAACATTCCCCCATCAATGCAGATCTCTTTTGATCTTTTATCACTTTTTTTAGAGCTTAACCACGACGCATTGTACATTTGTTATTTAGATCAGAGGAGAAAGTAGTTCACGGTTTGAGAGATGCCAAGCAAGATTGTAGATAATGGAGGTTCTGATCTGAGCAGGGTAGATTTGAAGAAAAACATAAAGTTCATAAACTTAAATAGTAAGAAACATATCTAAACATATTTATATAGGCATTGTTGGACAGAACGTGTATGTCATAATAACGTTAAAATATACAAGGCATTTTACGTAGTCATAAACATCTTCAAGTGAATAGCAGTAAATGGAGTTACAGGTAGGCTGTTAAATGTGTTCAATAAGATTATGTTTTGTAGTGGAGATTAAATGTTAAGTTGTTACCGTGTGCTTAATATTTGTGACGTATTTTGGGCATAAAAGATGACGGCATAAGTACTTCAATAGCTTCGTTTATTCTAGGGGTAATTACTAGCAATTCAAAGATCAAAAATTGTTACGGTTTTTTTATTCAACAATGAAGCACAAAGCGTGACTTTTTCCTTCCACAATCCCTCTGCAACTCCTTAACTACCAAAACAATAACAACCAACAACGTCAACCACCGTACCCAAATAGATCACAACTACAAAGCACACAGTGACAACTGCCCAAGTCATCTCAGCACCAAAACGCCCTCACTGAACAAGTGATTAACAAAGGCAAGTTTTATATTTAAAAAAACTCCATGTTAGTTACATCATGGTAAACTTTAAATCAGTAGCACCCCAGCAAGGTGACATCAAGCCCTTTTTTTTTTTTTGAAGCGACCAGATCAGTAACGTCCAAACATGACAAGCGACCAGTTGGTTGTATTCACTTTGCAACTTGCTTCGGTTCCTTTCACCCAAATAGCAATAGGTGCGGTACGTGAAGTAACTGGAGTTTGTGGACTGGATCAAAATGATCCTAAAACTAAGTGCCACTTTGGGCAGAACACCCTCCCTGCTCCACCCCCTCCTCTAAGGCTTGTGTTTGCAATAGCGCGAGGAGCTATTTAGAGTTAACCGTGTGCAAGATTGGATCAGCACCCTGTTGTTGTGAGGTTGTGGGGGCGTTCTGTTGGAGGTTGGATGTCTCTTGGTTCCGTTAAGTACATTCCTTAGAAACATTCTTTCGGTTCAAGAAAAAAAAAAAAAGTTCTTTTATTTCGAGTCTTATTATGTAAGTCTAATGTACCGGTATTCCTGGTGTACTTCTAACGTACTCCTAGTCTACGTCTAGTATACCTTACACCTTACAACTAAAGGGTGGTTTCATGGGTGTAATTGGCCCACCGGCATAAACGAAGGTTATTTTACGTGACTTCTGTCACAAGTTCAAGCTTAAGTCAGGCATGAAATCAAAATAATCCATGCATTGAATCAGTGGATTAAGCCGCCCAGGTCTTAAGCTGTTGTTCAAGATCTCGGCAGAAGATTGTCAGAGGAAGTTAAGGAAACGATGAAATGTTTACCTAAGAAATATATCATGCAGTGGATGGGAAGTAGTATTGTAGCCCTTGTACATAAAACATTATGAGGCTAGAATCTCACGATTATGAAACTTGACCCCAAAGATTAGGAGGCGGAACGCTCATGATTATGACATTAAAGTGCCATGAAAATGAAACTAGACTCCCATCATTATGACACTAAACTTCCATGATTATAACACTGGACTTCCATGATTATGATACTCGACTCTCATGATTATAATACTAAACGCTAATGATTATGACACTAAACTGCCATGATTATGACACTAGACTCTAATGTTATGACACTAAACTCTCATGTTATGACACTAAACTCTCATGTTATGACACTAAACTCTCATGTTTATGACACTAAACCATCATGATTATGAATCTAAACTCCCATGATTGTGACACTAAACTCCAATGATTATGACAAAATACTCCCATGCTTATGACAAAATACTCCCATGCTTATGACAAAATGCTCCCATGCCTATGACACTAAACACCCATGATTATGACACTAGACTCTCATGATTATGACACTAGCCTCCCATGATTATGAGACTGATCTCCCGATGTAATGAGACTAGACTCCCATAAAACTATGAGAGCATTTATTACTCTCAGCTCTTATCTTTCATTATTGTTCCCAGTATCCCTTATTTTTTTTATAATCTCCTCTTATCTTTCTATATTCTTATCTTATCATTCTCTTTTCTTCTGGTATTAAATTTGTTTTTTACTCTTTCCCTACTCTTAACCAATCCACATTTTGCCTTATAAAAACCCTTTACTCTTTACAATAAATATATAAATTGCCCATTCCCACCCCTTGAAAACCCCGCTCCTCATTACGTAAGATCTTTATACATTTTCCTTTATTATTTAAACTAAAAAGAACAACTATCCTACGCTCTTTCAATAATTTACAGTTGGACTTAAATTATTGCTTTTCCTCTTGATGTCTTTATTCTTCACTTCACACTTACTTTGTCCATTGGGTCTGCTTGGTGTTATTCTTCATTCCCCTTGTGAGATTACATGCTCATGTCATTTTTAAATTGATGTACACGAAAAACTGGCGTTGAAAATGTGTTACCGGGGGGAGGGGGGTGGGGGGAAGGGGGTGTTTAGGCGGCCCGGCACGACCATTTTTCTGTTCATTAAAAGGATTTTTTTTTTGGTGTGGGGGGGGGAGGGGGGAGATTCGAGCCACTGCAAAGATTTTTCATGGGTGTAGGGAGGTGGCTAGAATCATAAAGCTGTCCTGGTAGCTCTAATCCTTGCGACGCCTTTAAATACAACCTTGTTGTGTTTTTTAAATTTTATTTTATTTTAATTAATTTATTTTTTTTACTTTCACTAAATCGTCAATTATTTCCCTGGGAAAATGAAAACGCTCACATTAAAATCCATCAATTAAAAGAAAAAAAAATTATTTTCGCAATCATAACCCTATTCTTCCGATCATCATTTGCTGTATACACTTATTTCATTACTCTTTATTTTCTTAAATCATCCAGCGTTTCTATAGGATCTAATTATACTGACCCATGTGAACCTACCCGTTGCTGCCGGCCGATGGTTCAGCCTTTTCAGGCGCGTCCACTACCGGAAGTGCTGCTGATGTGGTCAAGCACACGATCAAGGTCACGACCGCCACGGACAATGTAATCCTACCGTCGAGCGCCATCTTCATCCGGTTGATACGTGACGCGTTCATCAAACAGCGTCAGCTCGTCATGTTGAGGGTGTTCCGGCCATCACGTGATCTAAGCAAGACAAAGTGAAACACGGAACACTGTAAATATTTGCTACAAGAAAACGAAAAATTCTGGTAGCGCACTGGAGTTCTTAAAATGTGGAAATGAAATAGTGGTACATGGGGTCGGTTGTGTAAAAATAGTTTGAAAATCAGGATTAGAGGTAACAAAAATGAATAAGACATGTGTAATAAAAAGGTAATGCTGGACGTCTGAAATACAAATTTAATGATTGACGTTTTTGATAAAAAGTTAATGATTGACGATTGTAATAACAAGGTAATGATTGACATTTGTAAAAAAAATAAAGGTAATGATTGACAGTTGTCATAAAAAGGTAAAAAGTGACATCAATCCCGAACTTTTGTACAGGGTCTAAGCTGGCATTGCTAATTAGTCGTCATGGCAGTTATATGTTGACAGTGGAGCTGTAACTATAAAGATGAACCATAACAAGATTAGATGGGCAAAGCTACGACAGGATTGGACTTTTCATATATCTTAAAACTGAATGAGCTTATCCGTGAAACTAATCCCATAATAATTGTTATGGTGGACAATACCACACGGATAGACAGCCGTGGTAGACCTTTGTGTGTGCCCGGCTTTTGAACTGAGTGAACTGCGTCCCACCAAGTAGGGTGTACTGTGCGCCACCAAGAAGTGTATACTGTGCGCCACTAATTAGTGTATACTGTCTGTCACTTAGAAGTATGTACTGTGTGTCACCAAGAAGTGTAATACTGTTTGCCACCATAAAGTGTGAACTGTGTGCCACCGGAATTATGCACTGTGTGTCACTAAGAAGTGCCGCTCAAAAAAAAAATCGACTTGCTTATTGTATTATTATTAACTTATTGTTTTAAATAAAACCATAAGACATAGCACTAATGTTGCCAGGACCAGGAAACACTAAGACATAGCACTAATGTTGCCCTGGACCAGGAAACACTAAGACATAGCACTAATGTTGCCCTGGACCAGGAAACACTAAGACATAGCACGAATGTTGCCGTGGACCAGGATCACCAAGATCTTTTGGCCCCGATAATGTCCAAATTTTTGGCACCCACATATTTCAATATAACCTTACCAAACGTAATTGTGTTTTTAAATAAGTGTAGTTGCAACGCTTCGGGTCTCCCATGCGAACAGAAACCTGACGGATCTAAGCCGGTTTTCTGCACGGTCCCAAGGTGGACTAATCAATTTCCCGCCACCCAATTGGCGTTGTCAAGACTTGACACAGAAGTTGTTTTATTTTAAGCTGAAACTCGTTAAATTAAAGATTTCCGTTTATTTCGCACCTCGCATTTATTTTGAAACAAAAAAAAATTATAAAAATCTAGGACAGGTAAGAGAGATAAGCCCTTGAAAGATTTATGGCGCCTGAGAAATGATTCTCGCTCGATTTGACTTGTTTAAAACAGTTTAAAAACCTGGGCCTAAAACACAGAATCAAGTTGTGTTACAAATATGTAACATGGAGAGACCAACATGGCCCTAAAACACCATATCAAGTTACGGTGCAGTTAGGTGACTTTGAGAGGACATGGATTTTGTGCACATGTAGTTGAATGAAGATGTGTGTTCACACAGCGATGAGTCATATAGGGGGTATTAGCAGAATGAAGAAACATAACAGATAGAAACAAGGAGAAATAAATTAGCTGTAGGGACACTGATATTTAGATTAAGGTGGGATTGACATAATGAAAGAGAGATGGAATGACATGGTAGGACATGGCAAGAGGGAGGGGGGGGGGGCAAAGAAAAGCTGAGAGAAAGACGGAAATGGAATTGAGCAGAGTCATTGAGAAAGGTGCCCGGGAAACCGCTGTAAACGAATAATCTTACAATAATCTACAATAATCTATCACAATTTTCATAATTCAACGGGAAATTATGAAACATCAAGTTGGCCTGGTGGACACCAGTGACTCACTTAGTAACAAATCTCTTCAGGATCCTCTGCAAACGGCTGTTAACTGGGGGTCTACGATAAATAAGTTGATCGACTCCAGAATGACAATTTCGATAAATCTGCATGGATTTGAGATCGAGTAATTGCAATTCTTCCATCTGGTTTTTACTTCCGTATAGAAGATGAGAATCTTGTTGATTTGTCTTGAGAAACAAAATCTAGCAGCAGATAAATCGTTGAATTTTGGGATGTAAGTAAAAGATGATTATGGCGATTCTGTCCGTAAAGCTCAGAGCTTTGTACTTCCATTTTCGACTTTACGTATTTCCCGGCTTGGTTTTCGGTCATCGCTGTGATAAAGACAAAATATTGCGCTGAAATGTGAAGCAAAAAATTAAGGTAGCTGTTGAATTAAATCTGTCCGTGATATTCGCCTAATCTTTTACTTTTTAAATAATTCGCTATGGTTCTTGTCAGTTATTGTATCAGGGCGCCTTTGGAAAAACCTGGTGTAAGCAAGGGCAACGAGAGTCGGAAATGTTTGGGAACCTTCGATCTGATGGATAAGCTACGAGAGCTGGTTTTGGAAAGGCATGCCATCTGTTTGTGGATCGGAAATACAGGGATTGCATATGAATAGTCTTAACGTGCAAAGGAATGTCTCAGATAAGTCAGCTAGATTACTGGACCTTAATCCTGGTGCAAGGGGGGGGGTATGGTTTCTGTGTATGAATTTCTCCATACATTATCATAAGTGTTTGCCATGAGCCCGGCCAAGTCATGGCGACAATATATTTTATATTAATCACAGGAAGTGCTCAGCATTAAAATGTTATTGTAGAGTCAAGTCGCTGAAAGTTAACAGCAAGAAATAAATAATTTGAATAGAATAATCATGATGTAATATATGCTTTTTCAACACTGTGGCTCTTGATTTCACTTGGCATAGCTAATACTAAGTGCATATGGGCTTCAATTTTATTAAATTAATAATTTTGATAAAATCCATCATGTTTGTGTGGGGTTTTTTTTAGGGGGGGGGGAGGGGGGTTTGTGTGTGCGTTTTATTTTGTTTAGGACGTCGAATATTAGATGACATTTTAAAATATGTTAGTTTTTCTTTGTTTTTTTTTGGTGGGGGGGGGGGGAATTTTTCTCTACCGCCAAANTAAACAATAACCTGTACTGAACAATAACCTGTATAAACAATAATCTGTAATAAACAATAACCTGTACTGAACAATAACCTGTATAAACAATAATCTGTAATAAACAATAACCTGTACTGAACAATAACCTGTATAAACAATAATCTGTAATAAACAATAACCTGTACTGAACAATAACCTGTATAAACAATAATCTGTAATAAACAATAACCTGTACTGAACAATAACCTGTATAAACAATAATCTGTAATAAACAATAACCTGTACTGAACAATAACCTGTATAAACAATAATCTGTAATAAACAATAACCTGTACTGAACAATAACCTGTATAAACAATAATCTGTAATAAACAATAACCTGTACTGAACAATAACCTGTATAAACAATAATCTGTAATAAACAATAACCTGTACTGAACAATAACCTGTATAAACAATAATCTGTAATAAACAATAACCTGTACTGAACAATAACCTGTATAAACAATAATCTGTAATAAACAATAACCTGTACTGAACAATAACCTGTATAAACAATAATCTGTAATAAACAATAACCTGTACTGAACAATAACCTGTATAAACAATAATCTGTAATAAACAATAACCTGTACTGAACAATAACCTGTATAAACAATAATCTGTAATAAACAATAACCTGTACTGAACAATAACCTGTATAAACAATAATCTGTAATAAACAATAACCTGTACTGAAATATAACCTGTATAAACAATAATCTGTAATAAACAAGAATCTGTAATAAACAATAACCTGTACTAAACAATAACCTGTATAAACAATAACCTGTACTGAAATATAACCTGTATAAACAATAATCTGTAATAAACAAGAATCTGTAATAAACAATAACCTGTACTAAACAATAACCTGTACTGAACTAAAACCTGTATAAACAATAAGCTGTACTGAACAATAACCTGTATAAACAATAACCTGTGTAAACAATAACCTGTACTTAACAATAACCTGTACTAAACAATAAGTTGTACTGAACAATGACCTGTATAAACAATAACCTGTACTAAACAATAACCTGTACTCAACAATAACCTGTATAAACAATAACATGTACTAAACGACACTGTGTTCATCTTTCTAAAAAATTGATGTATGGCCATGTTATTGATGTATGGCGATGTTATTGATGTATGGCCATGTTTTTGGTATGTGGCCGTGTTATAGATGTATGGCCATGTTATTGGTATATGGCTATGTTATTGATGTATGGCCATGTTATTGTTATACGCCCATGTTATTGATATATGGCAATGTTATTGGTATATGGCCATGTTTTTTATGTATGGCCATGTCATTGATGTATAGCTATGTCATTGATGTATGGCTACGTTATTGATGTATGGCTTATTATTGATGTATGGCCATGTTATTGATGTATGGCTATGTTATTGATGCATGGCCATGTTATTGATGTATGGCCATGTCATTGATGTATGACCATGTTATTGATGTATGGCTATGTCATTGATGTATGGCTAAGACATTGATGTATGGCAATGTTATTGATGTATGGCCATGTCATTGATGTATGGCCATGTTATCGATGTATGGCTATGTTATTGATGTATGGCTAAGACATTGATGTATGGCAATGTTATTGATGTATGGCAATGTTATTGATGTATGGCAATGTTATTGATGTATGGCCATTTTCTTGATGTATGGCTATGTCATTGATGTATGGCTAAGACATTGATATATGGCCATGTTATTGATGTATGGCCATGTTATTGATGTATGGCTATGTTATTGATGCATGGTTATGTCATTGATGTATGGCAAAGACATTGATGTATGGCCATGTTATTGATGTATGGCCATGTTATTGATGTAAGGCTATGTTATTGATGTATGACCATGTTATTGATGTATGTCTATGTCATTGATTTATGGCTAAGCCATTGATGTATGGCCATGTTATTGATGTATGGCTATGTTATTGATGTATGGCTATGTTATTGATGTATGGCTATGTTATTGGTTTATGGCTATATTATTGATATATGGCCATGTTATTGGTACATGGCCATGTTTTTGATGTATGGCAATGTTATTGATGTATGGCTATGTCATTGATGTATGGCTATATTATTGATGTATGGCTATGTTATTGATGTATGGCCATGTTATTGATGTATGGCTATGTTATTGATGCATGGCCATGTTATTGATGTATGGCTATGTCATTGATGAATGGCCATGTTATTGATGTAAGGCTATTTCATTGATGTATGGCTAAGACATTGATGTATGGCAATGTTATTGATGTATGGCAAAGTTATTGATATATGGCTATGACATTGATCTATGGCCATGTTATTGATGTATGGGCATTTTATTGATGTATGGCTATGTTATTGATGTATGGCTAAGACATTGATGAATGGCAATGTTATTGATGTATGGCTATGTCATTGATGTATGGCTAAGACATTGGTTTATGGCCATGTTATTGATGTATAGCTATGTCATTGATGTATGGCTAAGACATTGATGTATGGCTATGTTATTGATGTATGGCTATGTTGTTGATGTATTACCATGTTATTGATGTAAGGCTATGTCAGTGATGTATGGCTTTGTTATAGATGTATGGCTATGTTATTGATGTATGGCCATGTTATTGATGTATGGCTATGTCAGTGATGTATGGCTAAGGCATTGATGTATGGCTAATACATTGATGTATGGCTATGTTATTGATGCATGGCTATGTCCTTGATGTATGGCTAAGACATTGATGTATTGCTAAGACATTGATGTATGGCTATGTTATTGATGTATGGCTAAGACATTGATATATGGCTATGTTAATGATGTATTGCTAAGACATTGATGTATTGCTGTGTTATTGATGTATTGAAAAGAAATTGATGTATGGCTATGTTATGGATGTATGGCCATGTTATTGATGTATGGCTATGTAATTGATGTATGGCTATGTTATTGATGTATGGCTTTGTTAATGATTTATTTGCTATGTCAGTGATGTATGGCTTAGACATTGATGTATGGCCATGTTATTGATGTATGGCCATGTTATTGATGTATGGCTATGTCATTGATGTATGGCTAAGACATTGATGCATTGCTATGTTATTGATGTATGGCTAAGACAATGATGTATGGCTACGTTATTGGTGTATGGCTAAGACATTGATGTATGGCTATGTTATTGATGTATGGCTAAGACATTGATGTATGGCTATGTTATTGAGGTATGGCAAAGACATTGATGTATGTCTATTTCATTGATGTATGGCTATGCAATTGATGTATGGCTATGTCATTGATGTATGGCTTTGTTATTGATGTATGGCTATGTCAGTGATGTATGGCTAAGACCATTATGTATGGCTATGTTATTGATGTATGGCTAAGACATTGATGTATGGCTATGTTATTGATGTATGGCCATGTTATTGATGTATGGCGATGTTATTGATGTATGGCTATGTCATTGATGTATGGCTAAGATATTGATGTATGGCTATGTTATTGATGTATGGCTAAGACATTAATGTATGGCTATGTTATTGATGTATGGCTATGTTATTGATGTATGACTTTTTATTTATGTATGACCATGTTATTGATGTAAGGCCATGTTATTGATGTATGGCCATGTTATTGGTTTATGGCCATGTTATTGATGTATGGCCATGTTATTGATGTATGGCCGTTTTATTGATGTATGGCCATGTTATTGATGTATGGCTATGTCATTGATGTATGGCTAAGACATTGATGTATGACTATGTCATTGATGTATGGCCATGTTATTGATGTATGGCCATGTCATTGATGTATGGCTAAGACATTGGTTTATGGCCATGTTATTGATGTATAGCTATGTCATTGATGTATGGCTAAGACATTGATGTATGGCTATGTCATTGATGTTTGGCTAAGAGAATCATGTATGGCCATGTTATTGATGTATGGCTATGTCAGTGATGTATGGCTATGTCATTGCTGTATGACTAAGACATTGATTTATGGCCATGTTATTGATGTATGGCTAAGACATTGATGTTTGGCCATGTTATTTATGTATGGCTAAGACATTGATGTATGGCCATGTTATTGATGTACGGCTAAGACATTGATGTATGGCTATGTCATTGATGTATGGCTAAGACATTGATGTATGGCTATGTCATTGATGTATGGCCATGTTATTGATGTATGGCTAAGACATTGATGTATGGACATTTTATTGATGTATGGCTAATACATTGATGCATGACCATGTTATTGATGTATGGCTATGTCATTGATATATGGCTATGTTTTTGATGTATGGCTATGTCATTGATGTATGGCTATGTTATTGATGCATGGCTATCTCATTGGTGTATGGCTATCTCATTGATGTGTGACTATCTCATTGATGTATGGCTATGTCATTGATGTATGGCTATGTCATTGATGTGTGGCTATGTCATTGATGTGTGGCTATGTTATTGATGTATGGCTATGTCATTGAGGTATGGCAATGCCTTTGATGTATGGTTATTTGATTAATACATGGCTTTGTCAAAGATGTATGGCTTTGTCATTAATGTACGGTTATGTCATTGATGTTTGTCTATATTAATTAATGTATGGGGTCAGTCTAATAGAAAATTTCGTTAATATATAATTGTTTTGATTCAATCGATGGCTGTTGATACAAATACTTCAAGTTTCGTCCATATAGGGCCTGGCCCTGTCCCATAAAATGCTTCAAGTTTCGTCCATCTAGGGCCGTGCCCTGTCCCATAAAATACTTAAAGTTTCGGCCATCTAGGGCCGTGCCCTGTCCCATAAAATACTTCAAGTTTCGTCCATCTAGGGCCGTGCCCTGTCCCATAAAATACTTCAAGTTTCGTCCAACTTGGGCCGTGCCCTGTCGCATAAAATACTTCAAGTTTGGTCCATCTAGGGCCGTGCCCTGTCCCATAAAATACTTCAAGTTTCGTCCATCTAGGGCCGTCCCCTGTCCCATAAAATACTTCAAGTTTCGTCCATCTAGGGCCGTCCCCTGTCCCATAAAATACTTCAAGTTCGTCCATCTATGGCCGTGCCCTGTCCCATAAAATACTTCAAGTTTCGTCCATCTAGGGCCGTTCCCTGTCCCATAAAATACTTCAAGTTTCGTCCATCTAGGGCCTGGCCCTGTCCCATAAAATACTTCAACCCAAGGCTTTTCGCCACCATGCGTGAACACCCTTCTCCCCCAGCTGATGTAAATACATGTCTACATCATCATACAACCCCAGTCTTGGCCTATTTGTGACTCGTCTATGCTATAATGTTTTTTTCCTGTTAGGCCACTTTGGACGCTCTATAATATACCACCCCCTTGATGTATGCACTCCATCGCCGTATGTCTTTTTAAATGGACTTCTCTTCGAAAAATTGATGTATCACTTGTTTTTTACGACTTCTTCATCACTCATTATCCAACAATGGACACTTATATTTTGTTCCTTTTTTTTTCTCCAGAAATCCGAAGCTTAACTTTTTTGCACAAACTTTATTAACCATATCTTAAAATCCACTCGCTGATGAAACTACTGAAATTAATTCAGAAAGAAATATATCATCTTCATTTGAGACTCCACACACAAATACACATAAACACACACCAACACCGTAAGGGCCCGAGGCTATCAAATGCGATATCCCATAGAACATTTCTTATGAGCTCTGCTTGATTTAATGTGGAAAATGCAGCAAAATTGTTTAACATATATTGATTTCTTGCGTTTAAAAGTACAGCATTTATAGTATTGTTTTGTCTTATGGTTCATAAAAAAAAAATGTCAGCACTAAAATACTAACTTTTTATCCTAAGTATAAAGTATTTTATATTTAAAAATATTTTAAAAAATCGGTAGGTAATTGTTTATTTGTGAAGGCTGAGTGAATCAGATTTAAACGCTATCAACATTATCAGAACATCTTCCTCTGTTAACTCCAAGGGGAAAACTCTAAAGAGGTATCACACACCTTCTGGAAATAAAACTCCAAAAACCCTTCCTTGATAACCCCACAGGCATCATTATTCGAACACTTTGCTATATTTTAGACACTTGGATATATACGATTCTCTTTCAAAACCTTAAAATCAGACGTTTGAAACCAACAAACTCGTAAGATTACAGAGATTGTCTGCCCTTTGGGTACCTTTTTTGGTGAACGGCACACGTGTTGAGCAACGAGAGTCCTTAAAATCAGGGCAGTCTCGATGGACCAAGTCCAAAATGGCGCCGGCAGTTGACATAAATTTGGGTATTAATCCACCTACGAGAGTTGCATATTAAACAGCTTTCATGTCTTTGAACTGTGCACAGCAAGATATGGCACGGGACCAGAGATATACACTTTATTTTTTATCAGATTGAACAAATAGTGCGAAGACTGGCCGAGTGACAGCGTTTTTAGTGAGTGGGTGAGATGGATGGCGTGGGCTGAAAGATTTCATGAGTCGAAGGCGGGGACTTTAAACGTCTAATGTTTTATGTCTATGCGGAAGTGTCAGACATGTTGTTATATTTCACTCCTAAAAAAATACAAAATTCCATATATTAATTTTATAAAGGGAAAAAAATGGGAACTTATCGCAGCATAAAATAGCATTAGAATGAGTGGGTGGTTTAGGCAGCACAAGATACGCCTCAGAATGGGTGGGTGACCCAGGCAGCTAAAGATTCGCCTCAGAATGTCGGTGTTCTAGACAGCACAAGATACGCCTCAGAATGGGTGGGTGACCCAGGCAGCTAAAGATTCGCCTCAGAATGTCGGTGTTCTAGGCAGCACAAGATACGCCTCAGAATGGGTGGTTGACCCAGGCAGCTAAAGGTTCTCCTCAGAATGAGTCGGTGTTCTAGGCAGTACAAGATACGCCTCTGAATGGGTGGGTGACCCAGGCAGCTAAAGATTCACATCAGAATGAGTCGATGCCCTAAGCAGTACAAGATATGCGTCGGAAAGGGCGGATCCCTTTGGCAGCACAAGATACGCCTCTGAATGAGTGGGTGCATTGATATATTATTTAACCTCCTTCGGTAAACACATTTCGTGGTGATGACATTATGTGTGTTCATTTGTATGTTGATGAAATTGTGTGTGTTCATTTGTATGTTGATTTATGACATTATGTGTGTACATTTGTATGTTGATGACAAAATCTTTAAATCGGATGATATTGCATTTGGGAAAAATAAATTTTAAAAAAAATTAAATGTTTTACACCGCTCTCTGAAATCAAAGTTCAAGGGCGTTGACAAACTGTGGGCAATAATGGGGACGAATCACACACGTTGAAACTCAGTTACGATGGAAAGCGTTTGACTAACCCTGACACGTGGGAGGAAAAGGCAAAGGATCGAAAATCATGGCGTTCCACTTGACACAGGGGCTCCATTCAACATGAAGTTGGCAGAACAGCGGCTAGTCGAGCGCAAGAGACATGCCAGGAAGGCATGCGCCCGGAGACGCCCAATCATTCCTCTGCACCTGCTGCACAAGAAAATTTCGGGCCAGAATCGGTTTCATTAGACATCTGCGCACCCACAGACAGAACTAACACAAATCTGATGATTAAAGTGGGCATGGTCCACTCCCGACTGACAAACAACCTAGATGGAAAGGGGAAATGTTGGATAAGATTTTCTGGGAAACTAAGGACATGGTATATTTCCATTTTTCCTAATATTCAGTTCAGGGGCGTCGCTAATGTGTAGGTACACACATGGGCGCCCGCAGAAAACTTTCTAGGGGTGGGGGGGAGGCAAAAAATTGATTAACTTTCCCGGGGGGGGGGGGGGGCAAAACTTTTTAAGTAATGTTTTATGTAGTTTTAATTTACTGTAGCGCATTTTGTATGGTGAATGAACGGACAGGACATCAGCTTAGTTACTCTTTATTTTCTCTTTACTTTAATAAATTTTTGTCTATTTTTGTCNGGGGGGGCAAGTGCCCCACCTTGCCCCTACCTGCGGGCGCCCATGGGTACACATTTGTAAGTATAACAATATGTTTATAATAAAAACTTTCTGGTTCACATTTCATGACATTTATGCGGATAAAAAATCTAAAAAACTATAACTTCACAGACGTGAAAAATCGAATGTTTTTAAAATAAGAGACATCTTTCGTTTCATTTTACGAAAATAAAGTTCAGGGGCTGAACAAATAGGGCTTATCAATTCTAAAAATATATGGATAATGTTTTTATCCGTTTTGCACAAAATAGAATGTAAGTCCATTGATACATTTTATAATAATAAAAAAAAAAAAATTCTGAAAGCCAAACGACTGTTGCAGACGAAAAATTGGTGAATAGATTATTCTTTAGATAGAAGAATTCAATGTTTTACTTATTTTCCGATAATATAGTTCAGGATTAAACAATGGTTGGGCTAATTTGTAACAAAGATGCCAATATATCCAAATCCGTTAATTGTAAGGATATTGAAAATGATACACACGTGTATATATATTTAAAGTTAATGACATACTTTTACAGTTTTTAGACATGTGTTTTCTTTGTAGTTCAGGGGCGTGAAAAAAATTTCGGTCGGCCAATAAATAAAGAAGGCAAAAATTATCAATATTCAATGATGTGGGCAACGTAAATAATTATACATGGATACTTCTTTAAAAATAAATAAAGACTGATTTAGTATTTCCTATATATAGATTTCAAAGGTCTTTAAAATTGTCTTTTTGTTTTTATAATTTTTTTTTTTTTGAAGATAAAATACTTTAAAACCTGATTTAGTTAAATACGCAAAAATTGGATTTGTATATGTTTAGGCTTCACAATAGCAGGTCGAATGTAGCGCACTATGCCTTCCACTAAAACCCTGAAAAAAACGGGTTAAACATTCTAGTTAACAAATAATTGATTACCGTGCAGAGCATGAGTGTTTTTTCGGAATCTCTAAAACAAGCCTGCACAACTCCAAGTTTAAGGTGGTCCATAAAACTTAATGAAAAACTTGTGCGGGTCGTAATACTTTATGAAAAGCTTGTGCAGGGGCGAAAGCTATTAGGAAAATAATAATAATAAAAAACATTTCGTTACTTCGCGGGCCGCAAAGTGGTTGCTGGCGGGCCATATGCGTCCCGCGGGCCGTTTGTTGTGCAGGCCTGCTCTAAAAATGTTGTGTCCCCTCTGTATTATTTTACTTACTGTATTGCTACCGCTGATTGGTTCTTTTTCTGCCATGAATAATCTAAGGCTCCTCTTAGGGTTACGAAAACACAATACATTTTTAAAATCCATGACGCTAAACTAAATCAATTAAAACATGATGGATAGGCTATTTGGAGCTCGTGCAAAACAGTCGTGCGTATCCTAATATTGATATAACCATTATCATTTGCATATTCGAATTGGCATAGCTCCGTTTAGAAAATGACTCTTTTTATTAATGTATTTTTTAAAAAGAAATTTTAAAAAATCAAACATAAAAAGCACGTTTTGAAATAATGGAAATTAATTCAGAAAGTGATGTATCCTCTTTATTTGAGACTCCTAAAACCTACACATACCCACACACACCCAAACCCCCCACACACACACAAACACACACCCCCCACACACACACACCCACACCCACACACACACGAACACCGTAAGGGCCCGTTGCTATCAAATGCGACATCCCATTTACATTTCTTGTGAGCTCTGCATAGCTTAATGGGAAATAGCAGCTAACTTGCTTAACATTTATTGATTTGTTGCGTTTAAAGGTAAAACATCAATTTGTTTTTGGCTAGCAGTTCATTAACAAAAAATAGTTAACACTAATATATCATCCTTTATACTACGACTTTAAAGGGAAGGGGGGGGGCAAAGTATTTTATATACACATAATAAGAAACTAGCTAGTCAGTTGATTATATGTGAAGGCTGAGTGACTCAGATATAAAGAAAATAATCGTTATCAGAACGACTTCCTCAAGCATAAAAAAAAGCGTTTTTTAACACAGAGAAAACTGTGAACATGATTATCATTCATCGCCCGTGGGGTATTCGGTGATGACGCCTTAATCCCGTGCTCACTGACGCGTTAAGTTCAGCCTTGCTTTCAAAGTCCTCAATGCACAGTCACTCATGCGTACCACCAGAGGTCCCCCAGTGTTTAGCGTTAAAAATTGTTTATTAAAAAAAGCACTAAGCTCACGAAGTCGATAGAATGTTCACTTATTAACATTAGGTAGAATTTGTTTTGGGCTTTCTGTATTATAAATTAAACATGTAACATGATTAAATAAGTGGTTTGTAGGTATCATATCGCTTGACGATATCATGATGTAAATATCTGGGCCTTAAAATGGTTCGAGATTTGCTTGAAAGTACATCCTTGGAGCCTATTGCTGAAGAAATCGTAAGAAAAAAAAAATGGAAGTGGATAGGGCACACTCTCCGTAAACCCCTAGATAGCATCACCAGACAATCCCTAAAAGGGAATCCACGGGGAAAAAGAAAGAGGGGAATGCGTAAGAATACACGGAGATAAAAGCTAGAGGCAGACAACAAGGTATGGTTTACACCTGGGAGCAACTCTGGGAAGGAAAGCTCGAAACCGAAAAGATGGACAAATTCTTGTAGACGACGTATGCCCCGGACGAGTTAAAAGGCATAAGTAGGTATAGAAGTCAACATCGCTCTACTTGTATCTCTTAACAACGACGTGTCAAGGGGATTACAGAGGCAAATGCCTAATTAAATGACGCAAGGGTTTTTGTTTTTGATTTTACTGTTCCTAAGCTAATAATAATAAAGTTTATTTCAAAAACACGCTTCATCCCTAAAGGCTCGAAGCGCGGTACAAAAAATTTACCACATTTAAAACAAACGCAACACTACAAAAACTAATTACAAGCAAACCAAAAGAAAGTCTTTCTAGCCATTTCAACCCTAAGCAACACAGCCCATATGCATTAAATGGAAAATATGGTAGACAATCATCCCAAAAGATGTTTGCGAAGTAAATGTGTCTTTAAATCGGTTTTTAAGGATGCCAGTGTCTGATTGTTTCTGAGATTGACAGGAAGGGCGTTCCAAATTGTTGGACCAGCAAATGCGAAAGTACGCTTTCCATAAGTCTCAAGGCGAACACGTGGTGTGGAGAGTTTGCCACTGTCGGATGAGCGGAGCTCTCTAGTGGGTACATAAGGCGTCAGCAGCTCTTTCAGATAGGACGGCGCCAGGTCATGTAAGCAGCGGTAGCACAACTTTGCGATTTTGTACTCTATGCGAGCACGCACCGGCAGCCAATGCAACTCTCTCAGAAGTGTTTTTGCATTGTCGAACTTACGTTTGCGGAGAACAATGCGAGCCGCATTATTCTGTGCTATTTGAATTTTATCTAGGAGCGTAGCTGGAAGACCAACCATGAGAGCATTGCAATAGTCCATGCGTGATAGCACAAATGCAGACATCAACCTCTTTGTTGCATCAATTGTTAGGAAGGGCCTGATGTGACTAATCCTGCGCAGCTCCAGAAAAATCGCCTTGCATAGCATGTTAATGTGACTTTCCAAGGTTAGTCTTCTGTCTAGGTAGACACCCAGGTACCACACTGTTTGAGCTAACTCAATACTGACACCTTAGAGAGTAATTGATGTCGTGTTATTTGCAGATTTTTTGCTTCTGAGCGGTCGCAATGGGGAGCAGCTCAGTCTTATCATCGTTCAATTTGAGCTTGTTTATGGTCATCCAGAACTTAACTGATTCCACTGTCTTTTGTGTCATACTGAGCAGCTTAGGGAGCTGAGAGGGGATCACGGATTGATGAAGTTGGATGTCGTCTGCTAACATGTGGTATTGCATGTCAAACTGCTTGATCTCTGCACCCAGGGGCTGAATGTACATCGTGAAAAGCACCGGGCCTAGGACCGAGCCCTGGGGTACTCCGAATTCGATATTAGATTTCTTTGAGGTCAGGCCGTTTGAAATAACTTACTGGACCCGATTAGTTAGATATGATCGGAACCAACTCAGGATGGTATCAGTGAGACCGAACGTTTTTTGCAGACGCTGGAGCAGTATGCATTGATCAAGCGTATCGAAAGCTGCCGATAGATCGAGTAAAGACAAAATCGACACCTGGCCCTCATCACAAGACGACAGAAGGTCGTTTACGATTCGCAACAGGGCTGTATCAGTAGAGTGATGCGCCCTGTATGCTGACTGGAAAGGTTCAAACAAGTCATATTGAATGAGGTGATCCAGGAGTTGGCGGAGAACGACTTTATCAAATATTTTGGATATAAATGGTAGATTTGAGATGGGGCGATAATTTTCCATCACATTTGGGTCAAGATTTGATTTCTTTAATAGCGGAGTGACGATCGCCTCTTTAAAAGATGATCGGACAATACCAGTAGCTAAGGACTGATTTATGATACAAATGATGATGGGGGACTATTTCATTCAGACATTCATACAAGAGCGCTGCTGGAAGAGGGTCAAGCGAACATGACTTTCTTGGTGTATCAGCAAGGATTTTCCTCACATTCGATTCACTGACCTCAACAAATTCAACCATAGAAGAGCCGTTGAAGGTTGAGAATTCTGGAGCAGTATCGGTGCAACTGTCAAGTTTCGCTCTGATCCTCTGCTGTAATAAAGTAGTCATTTAGAGAGTCTGGCAGCTCTTCTACAGCAATGTTATTTGGCAGAGATGTAGACTTGTTTTTACCGGTCAGCTGACCCCACAATGCGAAATAGATCCTTGCTTGAGCTGCTGTCTATAATCTGATGACTAACATGCTCTGTCCTAGCTGCACGGACCAACTTTTTGGTTCGTTCCCTTTGGTCGAAAAAGATTTGTCGGTGCACGGTCAAGCCCGACTTCCACCATTGGCGTTCTGCACGTCGCTGCTTCTGCTTCGCTTCCTTAATTTCGGGCGTGAGCCATGGGGTGGAAGGGCGGTCCGTAACGCGCCGTGTGGTCATTGGTGCATTTGTCTAAAATGACTCTGAGGCCACTGTTGTAGTATGTAGCGGGGTCTTTTTCACTGCACCTGAGGGCGGTGACGTCGCATATGAAGGCCACTAGATCAATTTTGTTGCTGGTTACGAGATGTGACTGTGCGCAGAGGGCGCCCTGACTTCTTCAAGTCTAGGTCAAAGAATATGGCAAAGTTATCAGATATCATTTTATCTTCAATAAGGAGGTTGCGGATGAATGCTGCGTGGTCCTCTCTGACAACAAGCCAATCCAGGATGTGACCCCTCTTCTGTGTCGGGACACTGACAAGCTGGATCATATTGTATGTGTCAAGAGCTGATTTCAGAGTCTTCACATAGCTGTCAGTGGTGGAATCAAAGTGGCAATTGGTGTCACCTATTATGATGACGTTGTTATTTGTAGAGGCGTACGTGTCTAGGAGCTTTATAAATTCAGCAGTAAACTGGGAGGCCTTCAACTTATTTCGCTTATTGGGAGGTGGCCTGTATATGCATAGAAGAGTAATCGCTTGGTCACAATAATTAAGTTGCATCTTGCATATCTCAAATGAAACAAACTGGTCTGATTTTGAGAACGCCACAATATTCTTGAGGGAGCTCCTGTAAGAACAGCAATACCTCCTCCACCTCGAGACAGTTTTGGGCAGGAATGAAGGAGATAGTCCGGAGGTGAAATTTCAATGCGATGTCACAATTCAATCGGGGTACGAGAGACCCACCCGCGAAGACCCCTTATCGCTCACCCCAATGCCCCCTCTTATCTCCCTCTCTAGGTTGATTCAAGGGCAGATAAATTGTTACGATCCCAGCCCATGGTATTTTGTATATAGTTGCACATAATGACTCACAAAATTCATTTAAATATCGCGTTTATACCCAGCAATTCATTGATAACACCATGATAGCACCATGATAGCACCATGATAGCACCATGATAGAACCCTGATAGCACCATGGGATTTCAACAAATCACTCGTATCTTAAATAAAACTGTGCACATTATCTAAAAAATGTCATGCATTAACGCGACCTCTTAGTACGTTATCTCAAAATTATCCGTATAAACTATATCCGCTTAATTGGTGGTTCTCAGATTTGAAGGATTCTCAGCGTCATGTCTGAAAAAAATGGTGTTGTTTGTTCCAGCTACGACAATTTCTAACAAGGTCACTGCGCAAACCGTTTTAAAAATTAAGAGTGAGGTCAAAACAAATAGTTCACGTATTAAAGATTCCAAAATTGTAATTAACAAATATAATTTATTTTATTTTTTGGGAATGTGGTACGCAAAATCTAAGCCTAGGGTAAAGCTTGATTTAGGCGCCCTCTTCTAAAGTAATTGTGTAATGCCCATATTTTGCATTAAAATAACGACTGTGGGGTCCTCTTAAGAAGACACGTGGGGAGTGAGCTCCGTCACAACCCCCTCCCCCCTCTCAATGTAATGTGTTAATTAGTAGGATAAATGAGCTTGTTACCGCCTAATTTCTCAAAGCTGTACCCAACAAGCGTCATTGACATCTCAAAGATGTACACAGCAAGCGTCATTGACATCTCAAAGCTGTACACAGCAAGCGGCATTGACATCTCAAAGCTTTACACAGCAAGCGGCATTGACATCTCAAAGCTGTACCCAACAAGCGTCATTGACATCTCAAAGCTGTACACAGCAAGCGTCATTGACATCTCAAAGCTGTACACAGCAAGCGGCATTGACATCTCAAAGCTGTACACAGCAAGCGGCATTGACATCTCAAAGCTGTACCCAACAAGCGTCATTGACATCTCAAAGCTGTACACAGCAAGCGGCATTGACATCTCAAAGCTGTACCCAACAAGCGTCATTGACATCTCAAAGCTGTACCCATCAAGCGTCATTGACATCTCAAAGCTGTACACAGCAAGCGTCATTGACATCTCAAAGCTGTACACAGCAAGCGGCATTGACATCTCAAAGCTGTACACAGCAAGCGGCATTGACATCTCAAAGCTGTACCCAACAAGCGTCATTGACATCTCAAAGCTGTACACAGCAAGCGGCATTGACATCTCAAAGCTGTACCCAACAAGCGTCATTGACATCTCAAAGCTGTACCCATCAAGCGTCATTGACATCTCAAAGCTGTACACAGCAAGCGTCATTGACATCTCAAAGCTGTACACAGCAAGCGGCATTGACATCTCAAAGCTGTACACAGCAAGCGGCATTGACATCTCAAAGCTGTACACAGCAAGCGTCATTGACATCTCAAAGCTGTACACAGCAAGCGGCATTGACATCTCAAAGCTGTACACAGCAAGCGGCATTGACATCTCAAAGCTGTACACAGCAAGCGGCATTGACATCTCAAAGATGTACACAGCAAGCGTCATTGACATCTCAAAGATGTACACAGCAAGCGGCATTGACATCTCAAAGCTGTACACAGCAAGCGGCATTGACATCTCAAAGCTGTACACAGCAAGCGTCATTGACATCTCAAAGATGTACACAGCAAGCGGCATTGACATCTCAAAGCTGTACACAGCAAGCGGCATTGACATCTCAAAGCTGTACACAGCAAGCGGCATTGACATCTCAAAGATGTACACAGCAAGCGTCATTGACATCTGAAAGCTCTACACAGCTAGCGTCAATACACCTCAAAGCTGTACACACCAAGCATCATTGATATCTCAAATCTATACACAACAAGCATCATTGACATCTTAAAGCTATACACAACAAGCGTCATTGACATCCTAAAGCTGTACACAGCAAGCGTCATTGACATTTCAAAGCTGTACCCAGCAAGCGTCACTGACATCTCAAAGCTCTTCACAGCAAGCATCACTGACATCTCAAAGCTCTACACAGCAAGCGTCACTGACATCTCAAAGCTCTTCACAGCAAGCGTCACTGACATCTCAAAGCTCTACACAGCAAGCGTCATTGACATCTCAAAGCTCTTCACAGCAAGCGTCATTGACATCTCAAAGCTTTACACACCAAGCGTCAGTGATATATCAAAGCTCTTCACAGCAAGCGGCATTGACATCTCAAAGCTGTACACAGCAAGCGTCATTGACATATCAATGCTCTACACAGCAAGCGTCATTGAAATCTCAAAGCTCTTCACAGCAAGCTTCATTGACATCTTAAAGCTGCACACAGCAAGCGTCATTGACATCTCAATGCTCTACACAGCAAGCGGCATTGACATATCAAAGCTGTACACAGCAAGCGTCATTGACATCTCCATGCTCTACACAGCAAGCGGCATTGACATATCAAAGCTGTACACAGCAAGCGTCATTGACATCTCAATGCTCTACACAGCAAGCGTCATTGACATCTCAAAGCTGTACACAGCAAGCGTCATTGACATCTCAATGCTATACACAGCAAACGGCATTGACATATCAAGGCTGTATACAGCAAGTGTCATTGACATCTGAAATCTGCACACAACAAGCGTCATCGACATCTCAAAGATATACACAGCAAACGTCATGGCCTTCCTAGCATCGCTTTACGCTTGGTACTTAATTGTATCAAAGTTCTTTTTAATAATTACATGTTATATTGATATTAGTTTACATGCTAATTAAATCGTTTATACATTATGAGGCTCATTCTTTAATCATCTTACAGAAGTGGACAGAAAATGACACCTTAAAATAAATAACACCCCTCCTCCCGCTTTTCCTTCACCCCCCTCCCCTTAATTTATAGTCACAACTCCCCACCCCCTAAAAAAAACACTTTAAAAGTCGTACCCAATTTTAGTTTGGCTCCAACATCTGCACAACATTCAAAGTTAGAACATCTACACATCAGTCAGATTTAGAACATCTACACAACATTAGAGTCAGAACATCTACACAGTCAGCGAAGGAACATCTACACAACAGTCAGAGTTAGAACATCTACATAACAGTCAGAGTTAGAACACCTACACAGTCAGAGTTAGAAAACCTACACAGTCAGAGTTAGAACACCTACACAGTCAGAGTTAGAACACCTACACAGTCAGAGTTAGAACACCTACACAGTCAGAGTTAGAACACCTACACAGTCAGAGTTAGAACACCTACACAGTCAGAGATAGAAAATCTACACATCAGTCAGAGTTAGAAAATCGTTGTACAATCAAAGAAACGTAATGTATGGTGCACAGGTCCACCAGAAAACTTACCTGTCAAGGGACACAACCTTAATTGAAACACCTCTCTAACTCCCCGTGCAGGCACAGTTCCTGTAACTGTTATCCCTATCGAATTCACTCTGCTAACGTTTCCGTGCAGTCGGGGCACAACTTTTTTTTTAAAACACAAGTCGAACCCTACACATACCACCTAGTAGTGCTTATTTTCACCTTTACACATTGAAACTCCGACGAAAAGTCCCCCTTCCCCTTAGGAGTAGACGAAAACGCTATTGCGACCAGGTTTAGCACCACAGGTCGGTGTTAGGAGGGGGCGGACCACGGGATTAAGGGGGGGGGGGCTGCGGGGGGCATGGGTACTGTTCAAACAAGGACTTATAGAATGTCTTTTTACGGTTAATTTTTTTCCCCTCCTGACCTAGATTTGTATATGCGTGACGGTTATTTTCATAGGGGTCGTAAAAGATTCTATATGGAGGGGAGAAAAAGGGGGTTTCAGTGTGAAGGGGAATACTTTATTTTTATGAGACCAAGACTGTAGGAGAAGTGTAGAGGAGTCTTCAGACCAAGACTGTAGGAGTAGTGTAGAGGAGTCTTCAGACCAAGACTGTAGGAGTAGTGTAGAGGAGTCTTCAGACCAAGACTGTAGGAGTAGTGTAGAGGAGTCTTCAGACCAAGACTGTAGGAGTAGTGTAGAGGAGTCTTCAGACCAAGACTGTAGGAGTAGTGTAGAGGAGTCTTCAGACCAAGACTGTAGGAGTAGTGTAGAGGAGTCTTCAGACCAAGACTGTAGGAGTAGTGTAGAGGAGTCTTCAGACCAAGACTGTAGGAGTAGTGTAGAGGAGTCTTCAGACCAAGACTGTAGGAGTAGTGTAGAGGAGCCTTCGAGCAATGAAGGAATTGGCAATGAGGACACTTTCTTCTGTGTCACCGTGGAATTTGGGTCCAAGGCACCACCAGATGGAGGTGGTTGGGGGTGGTGGTTTGTTTTTCAAAAATTATAACCATACATTTGAGTACAAAATGTAATGTACGATGAAACGAGCCCGTCCCATAACGCGTAACGCTGTCACGCGAATTCGTGGTCTTGGCGTGTCTCACAAAGTTCTATTAATTCTTTCCCCATGTGATTTTTCGGACAGAATATTGTGAACCCTCGCATTAACGCCACCCCACTATTATGGCGGGTTGCTACTGACCTACTTCTAAATTGATGACCTGGGCTCAGATTTCCTGGAAACTTAACTTAATTCAGACTTACATTGCCAGCTGAACTAATTGCTCTTGCCACACAGAGAAAGGTAGAAACGGGGTGGGCCAAAGATATAAAACGGACCCGTTGAACAATCGCAACATCCTGCACACCAATCCATGCAAGCAGACGATGACCACTTATCCTAAATTCCGATGACACAGGGGACATACCGGTTTTATCTGGTCATAACTTCGTAAACTTATATAAAATTTTTTATGTGTGTCAATAATTTATTTATATTTGTTTGCAATGAAGCCTTCGTCGAAACGACCCGGTGGTGAAATGACGTTAGTGAGACGGTGACGACAAAATGGCGTCGGTGAAGTGGCGGTGGCCTAACGTCCCATTTGTATATATAAATTGTGACATTTAGAGTTCTGAAGGAGAGTATCCATATGGTGTTGTAGAAAATCCCGCGTTATTAAAGTTATAGCTCTTCTGTTGTTTTTTTTATCTGTTCACTTCTACCTGGAAGGCGTTTCAGGAAGGTATAGTTTGAGATGTTCCGCAAGGTGTGAAGTCTGGTGAAGATCAACATTTGTGTACTTTGAAAGTGTTCTGAACACGCCTGTGTGGTCTTCATCAGACATGGAAACTTACTGTCTTGTCATCTTGGGGGCTTAAAATGCAATTTGATTGACTGGAATCCTGGCCACATCCTAACAAATGGTTTTCAATATAACAAGGCTTATCATAATTCTAAGGCTTGAAACTAAGACTCCCAAAAGAATATCATTTACCGGTGCGGGAGTTGAAATAATTGCTGGTGGTTTACTTGAACATTAATGGCTCTACTATTGGAACACATACGGAGGCAATTTTGTTAAATTATTGTTAACAGCCTTTTTAATTGATGTCTTTAAGAAGGGCCTGCACAATTGAGGGATTTCGCTGTCTTATATTAATGACAGGCTAAAAGTATAAAGTTAGGTCTTAAATGTCACAAACAGAAATTTGGGTGTTTGGGGCTAGAAGATCGACTATTCGTACTTTCATAATTATCACTTGCATCACCTCTCTAATGTATTTCTTTATCCTTTTGTCCCAAATTTCTCCGAACAGCTTAGTTAAGCACCATGTACATATTATTCGTGTGTCCGCCAAAAACTTAAGCTTGACACCACCTGTACTTGTTGAGCCCTTACGCTTTAAGCACTTGTGGACCACCACCCACAACCCGGCAAATAAAAATATTCATCAACAAATTATGACTCACAGTAAACCATGTAAAAATGTTACAGTGTTTTCATAGCTGTTGGAAGTAACCCAGTGGTTCCCGAAATGTGCGTCGCTTCCTCCTGGGGAGACCCCAGATTCCTCACATGGCACCGTGAGACATAACACAATTTTCATAATTTGATCTCCACTTTGAATCCGATGCGACAGGACACGTCATGGGGCAGGCATTGTTCAAACACGTTTCTCACTTAAGAAATTGCTGTTAGCTGAAGTTGCTAAAATATTTACAGAGTACCGCTTAGAGACTCTTGATAAGTATTTCGTTGACTTTTTACAAAAATCTTTATTTTTAAAAGAACAAAATATTATTATTATTATTCTATATCTTAAGGGCCCACGATCAATTTATTGATTATTTTTGGCTCCTATGCATGTAGATGGGATTTGCAATGTTTCTGTTACTGGTGGTGATGAGGAAATTTCACTGATTTTCAGTGCCACTTTGTGAGGAAATCATGTATGTTGGATGTATCTCAGTTTGTGACAATACATAACAAAAGGCGCATGGGGAAACCGAAACTCTAGCAAGGGGGCCGAAGATCTTAAATTTTTAGGAACCACTGAAGAAACCTAACAAAATACTTAGGCTACGTCACCTTTTCAGAACATACAAAGGTGGGCTAAATGTTACTGTTGATAAAGAGCAGGGACGTCTACACAGGGGCTGGGGGGATGGAAGAAGCAGCTGCCAAAACTGAGTTAGCAAGTGGATAGAATTTCCTTTCTCATTTGAATTTCTCCAGTGATCAAAATTAATTTGGGGAATAAAGAAAATACAAATACTAAAAAAAAGAAGAAAATAATTTTTTTTAATTATTTCTTTGATTGTTTTATTATATCGTTATTTTTATTTTTATTTTCTTTCTCTCTTTTTTTAAAATATCTTTTTGAGGGATGTCGATTGTTTTGACAGCACAGTCATCCAACCGCCCGACCGAACTTTCAATTATATTAAGAATCAAACCAAAACATTTAAAACAACCAAACTCGTGCTAAAACAAAATTGGCAAATTCATGACTCGATTTGATGATGATGTGGTGATTAGATTTGCTGAAAATGCGAAAAATGATAGATCTTCAGCAAAATTGTAATGTTTTTGTTATCAATATTATTCTTGAATAGACAACAAAATAAAAAAAATAAAAAAAAAATAAAATAAAAATAAGAGTGTAATTTCTTATAACTACAATTCATTTGGCGCTCATGAATGACACGCAGAAATCCATGTCTGGTAAGACAAGACCCATAGACAAAATTGACCAATTCCAATGTTTAAAGTAGGGGAGGGGTGTTAGGAGGAGTTGCTTCATCCACCCGAAATGGGGGTGGTGGACGCCACTGCTTGGGAGATCACAAGTACAAAAATAAGCAATGGCGTGATGATGGTTACGAAACATTTTAGTTCTGATTTTGAGAACCTTCAAACATCACTAGAAATCATGTATTTCGGGCGAAATTGATGGCCTTATTAGAAAGATAGATTTTCTAATAGGAAGGGGTTTGGTCAAGAGCATAACTGGGTTTTTAACGCCCTTGGCTAATTTATTTTTGGCACCCTTTTGTTTCAATAAAAATTTAAAAATTAGAGATTTAGCGGCGCACTTTTGAACTGGCGCAGGCCGGCGCCCTTGGCAACTGCCCCAATGCCAAGCCGTTGTTACGCCACTAAGGGGGGGGGTATAGGATGCAGTGGTAATAATTAGCCAGAGTCTCCATTTAAAATAGTCCTCGAACTCTTCTTGTCACTTTTGAGATAGTATTAATACATGAAGGACTTTGTGCCAGCTGTGTGACGGAAATGGTGGCAAAAGTTAGGAGGAAGCTTGAATTAGAAATACAGGACAATAAAAGAAGAACGTCTCGGCCAAGCGCCTTCCCCAGCAGACGGGACAAAATGAAGAAAAAACTACAAATAGAACTTATTTAAAAAATAAAAAAAACTGAAGTGTTGGCTATAAATGTCATTGACGCAAGTTATGTTTTCCAAAAACCAAGATTACAATAAGTAAAGGAATACATGTTTCATTTGTTTGAATAAAACAACCCGTAAAAAAACACACTCTTTCGGATAAATCCTTCATCAAGGTAATATCGAGCAATGGGGATTGGGGCTCAATATTTCACAGAACAAAAAAATTATGTTCAGAAATCCCCGAAAAGCGCACTGAATATCCCTGAATATTGTGGCGAGTTCGGACCACGACGGCGCCTGACCAGGGATTACGGCCGTCTGACCACCCAGACACGACCGAAGGATCAAGCGCTGGGGCGCCTGACCAGGGATTACGGCCGTCTGACCACCCAGACACGACCGAAGGATCAAGCGCTGGGGGCGGTACCGGCCATCCATCTGACCAGGGCATTTCCCTGGGGTCTGTTTGTAACCTGGCGCCAATTGACAAAAAGGGGCGGGGGATAATGCGCCAGTCCAGACCTGGGAGGGGAACTATGGGACAGGGAGGTATAAATAGGGATCTCTGGACGGGACCAAGAGAGCGCGGCCGGATGGTATGAGTAGAGGGCAGTCAGAGTTGCGAGAGGAGAGAGAGTATAAGCGAAGTATCAGCCCAATAAAGAACAAGACTATAATCATCAATTGTTATCGCCTGAGTTGTTTCTTTAGTGGATGTCAGATATAGATGAAGATAGCAGAGAGTAAGCAAGGTTTCCTTACAATATAGTCGATGT